CTGATGTACACTAATCTAAGTTACATTTGAACAAAACTCATATTTTTCTTGAATAAAACTATGAATCGATAGATGTTAGACCATCATTGAAAACTTGGAAGCACTAGACGTCCATTTCATCTTATTGTGGGATGACTCCTCATCAGTGAGCATCCATGATCCGACTTATGGGATTCGAACCCATGACCTTCGATCATGTCAAAATACGAAACAATAACAATTCAATAAATCAATAATTCACTTTTTTCTTTAAAGAATTATCAACATGAATGGAACTTGACAACAACATAACAACCCAAGAATAACTGAGATCTTTTTTTCTCCAATATTTTACATGTTACATTCCATTGATCAATTTGTCTTGGTAACTAGATCGTAAAACAGACATGTATAATGAGACATATCTATCTAGATGTGTGTGTGTGTGTTTGTCATTACATTTACATGTATTCGTAATCAGTGTTGTAAAATTCTCATCAATGAATTGTTCTTGATCGATAAACATAAAATAGATCAATAGACTTCAGTGGTAGTTCTTATGTCATCATCATCATCATAAGTAATTTAGTCCCATAAGGAATTTAATGACAAGAGATGTGAAATAAACAAGTTTAGATTTGATAGCATATTCAAGAGTGTATCTAAGGTCTATAAACTAATGTCAGCTGATAGATCACACAGTAATGTATTTACTTGGTGATCTAATACCATCAATAGAAAATGTAATGTCATTAATAACAAGTAATAAGTTTCAACTTCTGTTGTGTCTTATGCTTTATTCATTATATCACATGATATGATTGCCAATTAAAACATCGACGTAAATATCCTTGGCACTGTGCCAAATCAATAACGCGTTAACGATTACGAACAGCTTAAAGTTAATCTCTGAGTTTTGATTGGTTTTTCCGTTTAATTTTGCCTGTTGAGCTTAGAACACAGCTTCTACTGTATGTATTGCATATTTTAGATATACATGGTGTATATTACAAGTAAATCAGATTGTATCATATCATAAAATAGAAAATAACAATTATACAAGATCAAGCTAAAAGTATCTGTGAGTATGAATTACCCATAGTTTAATCTTCATTAGGATATATTAACTTCAAGGTATCCTTCTAGCATGTAAAACAAGTGAAAACAAACAACTTTGGTCAGAGGAAAATCTTTGTTGTTAGTTATGAAGACTAGACCAATTTAAGGAAAACTAAATCAGAAGGTAGGGAGAAAACTGTATGCTAAAGACAAGACTCCCTGATATAATTCAACATTTCGGTGGTAAGTAACAGTTTGTTTATGATAAACAAAATGGGTAAAGTGCTTCGGTTTGCTGTGGCTTGGTATTATATCAGCCAAATTATGTTGCTTGTATTAGGACAGAAAATCTACGTGAGGAAGCCTTTTCCCTTAAGAGTATCGTTTGACTTGATAAAGGAAAAAGAAATAGTCAACTAAGAGTTTTAGCAACCAATGGTTACGGTGTCCTAGGAGTTTAGGTGTCAAACTGAAAAGTCACTTTCTGTATGAGAGGTTGAGACAAAAACGACGTTAAATTCGGCAAAGGCTAAGATCATAGTAATTCACTGAGTCCTGAAATTGACTTGCAGTAATTCCGACGAAAAACACCTACATGACACATAGCAGATACAGTGACAATCATAACAGTTAGAGATGTATCCACTTTTGTAACTTCCGCTCATATCAGTAACACTAAATCTTACAACTCAGTTGAGATATATGTTAACGTTGACTGATTTATGTAAAACTCCTTTGTTACCAACCTCTAATCAGAATACAAGAAAAGTCAACCAATATACCTTGTATCACTCCCTATTTGAAAACATATAGGGTTATATACATCAAATACAAAACTACGATGAATCAGAATTGTGAAATTTATATATGGACACCACTAGGTCATCTGTTTTGAGAATTCCATATCGTAGTAAACATACAACATTAAATAGAGTCATTATTATTATACGAGGGTGCTTGGTACCTGTGTGGTTGCGCCACAGGATTGAGCTGTACTGTTCAGATTGTAGCGTTAAAGTCTATATGGTGTCTTGTTCTCCTGGAAACGTGGTTGAGTTGTACTGTTTGAGTTGTCACGTGAAAGTCTGGATGGTGTCTGGTTCTCCTGAAAAGCAGTGTAAAATCACCCTGGCCCACAAGAGTATTATATATATATATATATATATATATACTTCCTAAAAGTAGAACTTCCCTTTTAAAAGTGTTGTGATAGATACAAATATCAGCTTCTCCAGGTGACACTGTGATTACCACACCTGATAGATGATCACATACTTAAAGCTGGATAACCGAAAGACAGGATAGACAAACGAAAAGAGTGACAAGGTTCCAATACATCATCATAAGATGAGAATATTTCTCGTCCTTAAAACAGTCGTAAAGACTACTCCATTACTGTAAATATGATCTTTAATACGATCGTTGGACTCTGTAGTAGAAAAAAATATTGTTTGTTGAATATTGAACAAGTATAAAGGATATTATTCATAAAGATATCTGATCAAATATCTTTGTGATAAAATATGCTTGAAGGAACGCGACATCATGAATGAACCACACCAGTCAATGCTTCATTCAAAGAAAAAGCTTTTATCAGAAGGGGTTTAATGGTTAAGTGCTCGCGCGCGAAGCCAGTAGGTCCCGGGTTCGAATCCCGCGGGGTGCGGGGTCGTGGCTGAGGAGTCCCATACTAGGACGAAACCGCCGTCCAGTGCTTCCAGGTTTTCCATGGTGATCTAGCTTCAACTGACTCATGATTTCAATATGTGAAAAAGGCTTTTGTTAAACAATTCAGATCATAGAACATATATGATTCTAGAAGATACAAGCTTTTTTAAAAGTAGTCTTCACAATAAAACTATCAGTGGACCCAAACGCATCTGTATTAATTTGTGGCACAAAGTAAAAGCAAAATACAATGTTACTTGCTTATGCCCCATCTAAATACCGCCTTTTTCTGAAAAAGAATATCATAGCTATCTATAATGGTTCATGCGTAATAGATATATAATTCACTGTAGTCTTTGTAAAACGTGCTAAATCCTCCTTCGCTCTCGTACAATTAAAAGGTACTTGATTGAGATCATGAACTGATTGATATTAGACCACTTTTGGAAACCTGGAAGCACTGGACGGCCATTTCGTCCTATTGTTGGACTCCTCAGCCGTGCGCATCCACGATCCTTTATGAGTACATATTCTTGCAATTTAGTGGCTTCGTGCAGTGATAAGTAGTGGACAAGGTAATAATAAGCAATTTAGGAAACGTTTCGTCCGTTTAATAGAATGGCTTGTATTGAATGTCGTTCTTCTTTTCTTTAAAGTGAATACAATTGAACACTTAATTATTAAAGTTCCAGTAGTATTTTGTTTTGGTTACTGTTCATTTAACAGTTTATGTTAGTTTAATAGGGGATCACTCATGTGTATATTGAAGTAATCATTACTAACATATTCTATCTTGCAATGTTATAGCACTATTACAACTGCTGTTTTAAGTCGATTTCTTCATTTCCTGTATTACTACTTGAGAGGCACTCTGTCGTTGTTTGACCGATTTTTTTTTTCACTATACATTTAGGTTAATGTATAAAACGACGAATAATGTTTTCCTATTTCTAGTTGTTGATTAAGTAAGTCATATCTTCAGTCTACTGAATATAAATCCATAGTTTATACGGATGAAAGTATGTGCTATAATCTTTATAATCTTAGATACATAAACTCTCCTGTTACTTGACTTCCACAGTTTTATCTAAGACGAATTTGTGGAGATCATCAGAAGGAACGTTATTTACTCCTTCTCTCTATCTCTCTCTCCAACTACAACTGTACATCAAGCATTTGTTGTAAGATAGATGACGAATCCTTTGAAATATACTCATAATCTTGTATGGTAATACGATTTATCGTCCTTGATCAGCTTTCACATGTTAACTGCGTTTAAACGATTTAAAAAAAACACACTTCTTTTTGATGCTAATGAGCCGTCATAGTAATTTAAACGTTCATGTTGAGAACTTTACTACTGGATTCAGAATTTTTTCAGACTGATGATTTTATTGTCATAACTAACTCAAGCCAACCTCTACTCTTAACAAGAAGAAGATCACAATTTTCAAAGATACTAACTAAACTAAATAATGGTATTACTTATCTACCATGATTAACTTTTGATACAACGAACAGTAGTTTTCAACAAATTGACCAACTTGATGAAGAAAACCCCACCCTAAAAACCAGTATTTTACTTATCATTGCTTATGTTGAACGGTTTTGAGTTGATCAGTGTTAGACCACAATTTGAAGCCCAGAAGTTTCGTCTTGGTATACGACTTCTCGGCATTGGGCAGAACCTTCACTCCTACTCACGAACTCTTAAACTCTAGACCACTGTGTCAGCATCCAACGGTGTTGATGTCTAGATTCAATCAACCCACAACATTATGTGATCATCTTCATACGAAACCAAAGTTCCAGGGTTTGAATCTCGGGTGCGGGAACATGGATGAACAGTGTTGAGAAGTCTTATGCCAGTAGGAAACGCCTGTTCAGTTGCTTCTAAGTTTTCAATCATGGTCCATGATTTCAATGAAATTCGACAATCTCCACGACCTCATAACTGAAAATTATCTCTGTGATTTCAGTTTTGAATTCATTCACTTCTCTGGAATCATTACTCTTTTTCATATTTCAATTATAAAAAAAACAACCATTGGATGCCGGCTCAGTGGTCTAATGGTTAAGTGCTAGCGCGCGAAACCAGTAGGTCCTGGGTTCGGATCTCGCGGAGTGCGGGATCGTGGATGCGCACTACTGGAGAGTCCCATACTAGGACGAAACGACCGTCCAATGCTTTCAGGTTTTCCATGGTGGTTTAGCTTCAATCGACTCATGATTTCAATATGTGAAATTTCTAAAATCTCCACAAGATCCCCATTCTGATAAAAACACACAATATATCCAGAAGATATTTATTTATTTATTTACTGAATCTGAACGAATGAAATGAATAATGAAAATGAAATGATGATGATGATGGTGACAAGAATAAGTAACAACAATAATAATGATGACAAATGTTTATATTCACAGCCTAAAACTGTTACATAACAATGATCTGATGTCAATGTTTAACTAATGAGAAAACAAAAACAGATCAAGATCTCTCTCTCTCTCACACACACACGGATACACAATATTGATCTAAGCATTAAACAAAAAAAACGACATAGCTACACGCTTTAACACCGTAAAACATTGAAAGTAACATTGATCATAAGTATAAAGAAGAAACAATGTAATTTCTAATCGTTATGCTTATAAACATTATTTAAACAATAAAATAAAATATATATTCGTGAAATATTATGAAAATGGATGAATAAATGAAGAAAAAGAAAGAAGATTAAAGTAATATATATATATATATATAATTGAAAGCAAAAGCTGTGAAATATAGAACACTTCCCTAGCACCCCCCCGTCCTTCTTCATACAATCAATCAATCAATTATGAGATGATAGAAATGGCGCTATCAAGAGTTTTGGCAATTTAGTTATACACACACACAATAAACTGAACAAAATGAGATTGTCACAGTAACTATGTTGTAACTATATCATAGTAACCATGACGATTAAGTTGGATAGAAAAGAAAAAAAACTCAAAAATGCATGAATTCACATGATACTCATCTATATAGAAGCATTTAAAATAAATAACTGTTCATATCCCCCAGCAACAACAACAACAACAAAAAAAAATAAAAGCAAAAAAATAGAATCATCTAATTAATAATGAAATCATTGAATTTGTATTTTTTCTTATCATATATCTGTAATCTATTACATAATACAATGTTTACAGTTTTCAAAAATGATGATAAGCAGATCGAAACTGTATCAGATCAAGTACACAATAAGTCATAGCAACAACAACAACAATGATAATCGATAAATCCAGTTTCATATGAGAAACAAAGAAGAAAACTGTACACATCTAAGCAAACCATCCCCTTTTCCGATGGATCAATGTATATATTATAGCAGAAAAATAAGATCATAAGAGTAAATCAGTAGTAATGTAATAAACTATGTGTAAAACAGTATGAAATCAACTGAGTAAATGAATGATTGAATAATTAAGTATTAAACTAGCACACATTACAAAAAAAAATCAACTCAATCAAGGAACATCACAGGTACTTGTATGACAATTAAAAAAAAAAGAAGAGAAAAGAAAAGAAAAATAACACACGCACACACATAGTTTATCATGAATTAAACACAATGAGACTAGTTGTTTATACTATTCTTCTTTTGTTTTTTTTTCTCTTTTAGTTGAGTCATGGCAACAATAATGGTAACGACGACGACAACAACAACAACAACGACGATAATTGCAACAAAATAATAATACTAAACAATTAAAAAATGGATCATTTTTTAAAATTAGATTTAAATAAATTAAGAAAACGTGAATGAAATTTCATTTTTCTTGATTTTATAGGAATTCTTTCATTAGAATAAGGATGTGAATGAAAACTTGTAAATGAAAAAGATGATGATGTTGAGGATGATGAACGACTTCTTGTTGTTGTTGTTGTTATGGTGGTGGTGACGGCGGCGGCGGCGGCGGCGGCGGGGGTTCTTGTTGTTGTGGAACTCTGTGGTGATTGATGAATACTACTACTATCATTATTATTATTATATTCATGTAATAATGATTGTTTTTCATTACATATTATATCATTTTCATTATTCATTGTTGAAGAAACTGATAGAGATGAAGATTTATTTGGATAATGTTCATAATCTTTTATCATAGACATTGATATATTAGGTAATTTCTGTTGACTTGTCTCTAATTCATTCCAATTTGATATCAGTATATTTGGATTATTCTTAATATCTAATTGTTTAGATGAATTTGTTAATGTTGTTGTTAATAATGGTGTTGATGTTATTGTTCTATCAATAATTTCAATGGATTTATCACTAATATCATGACTGCATGGTTTAGACAATGATTGATATGTATCATCAATAGATGAAGAATGATGATGTTTATGGGAACGTTTTAAAATTGGACCACAATTAAAAGTGTTCCGTGGAAGACAAGATACTTTTTTGTGTTTCACCGTTTGTGATGAAATAGATTGCTAACAAACAAACAAATACAAACAAACAAATATAAACAATAATGACAATTATGAAAAGTCAATAACTGACATTAAGAGTCAATTAAAGCTAGACCAGCATGAAAAATCTGGAAGCACTGGAGAGCCGTTTCGTCACATTGTGGGACTCCTCAGTAGTGCACATCCATGACTTTGTCTTGCTAGATCGCGAACCCAGGACCTATCAGTCTCTCGCGTGACCGCTTAACCGTTAAAACACCGGACTTTCTGGTATCCAATGGTGTTAATGTCTAACTTCAACTAATCCATTAAATTGAGTGATATATCCACTATTGTCTTCAGTGAGTTACTATCTCATAACTGACCCGTTTGAACTGCACTGGTCAGTTTCTCACTAGAACTCCATGAAATACTTCTTAAAGCCAGTCACTAGTGAGCATATGTTGGTTAATATCAGAAGGAATTTTTGTGGATATCATAGTGATTTCAATAGTTCAAATGATATTAAAAGCAATGCATAAACGAAACATATCAACTTGCAATCTTCAAGTTAATTAAAATCCAAATTAAGTAAGAATTCATTTTATTGATTCAATCATCAGTCACCATTAGATCGTACATAAAAGTTTCTTCAGATTATACATATTAATTATAAATAAGAAAAACCAGTTACCTTGATCTCGATTCCTAAAGATATGAAAGATAAGATGTCGGCTCAATGGTCTAGAGGTTAAGCGTTCGCACGCGAAATTGAAGGTTGTGGATTTGAGTCATGCCTGTGCGGTCACGGATGACAAGTCTCATACTAGGATGAAAGGGCGTTTCAGCGCCTACAGGTTTTCAATATTGGTCTCAGTCAGTCAGTAACAACGTAGAACTTCGTACGTACGTACATCAGTTCGAGTTGCCATACCACATTAGCACAGAGATGCACTTGTCGATTCAAATCCCGTAGTGTTAGAGGTAATAAGAGTATAAGCAGTAATCGGAAAGATTAGGGTTTGGAGATGTTATTTAAAGAGTATAATCCAGTGAAAGAAATTTGGAAAGAGGAAAAAAGGGACATGAAGAATTCAGAAGATTAGAATTTGGGAGAATACAGAGAGTGGATGCACCTGCGGACACCATTGCAAACGATTTTGAGCCATGTCATTCAGGGTCTCTAACCATCAGTTGCTGTCATCTCGCGGTCCCCAACCAGGTAGTCTACACCTACCAACATGACTCAGTTCACTTGTCAGTGACTTCATGGACTTGTGCCATGTTTTGGTTTGGCCGCCCCTAGCTTTCTTCCAACCTACTCCTATACCACTGAACATAGCACGTCGAGGCAGTCGGTCGTTGGGCATGCGTAACACGTGTCTAGCTTAAATTAAATCATGAATTCAACTATGAAACAATACACGGGAATCACTTGTAATTATAATGATCAGTAAATGATTGCTAACATTATGATAAGATTATATTCATATGTATGTATGTATTTAGGTATACAATGAAAGCTCCACTTTAATCGATTTAAGTCAGAGAATTTAGCAGAATCAGTACATATGTAGATATTCTTAATGTCATTACTTATTGCTAAATGACTTGAAGACAAATTCTATTCCTAAGACTGACAACACATCAGATCCGAATGTTGGATGTTGTATGAGTTTGTTCGAGTGTATAACATCTTTTAACATTTCGATCAATGTCAAAAGTTAAATAGTCAGTTACTTAGTAACAACGTAGGATGCAGTACAGTTTTTTAAAAAAAATTCTCAATACGAATGCACAGAAATAATTGTCGTGTTCAGATTAAGTGAAGCGGAATCTAAAGCAAAGAGAAGCAGCAGGGTCTAATGGATCTACCCTTTGAGAACTGTAAAGTTAGTAGTCCGACTTGAGCTGTAAGACTGACTGAGATCTTAGCAAGTTTGGTAACTAAACACAATTCCATATGACTGGTTTTAATCACAGAGTAATCAGTTTAATTAATATAGTGTTCAAAATATCAGACACTCCGCCTGGGGTCCCTCCGGGGGCTACTGCCGGTTCCAAACCCGAATAAGGGAGGAGGGTTGGGTATGGGGTTAGCGACCCCATCCCGTAGAAAACTAACTCGCTAAAAAAAACGCTAAAATATCAGACTTAATAATACTTCGATGTAAAAATAAAGCACATGAACAGCGAATTCGAGAAAACCAGATTTGTTTCAAACATGAAAGTGGATGTTTAGACCAAATATGTTAGATAGTAAATTCAAATTCTAGATAAGCCTGCTTAGAGAACAAACTGTTAGATCTAGAAATGAATGTCTTGTTTTGCACTACCAGAAAGATAATAGTAAGCACGAATTAACGATCGAATTCAAAGCAATTAACTTGGATTCTAGTCAGAATTGAACAAATTTTGCTAGTAACTGTATTAGTAATACTGCAAGGTTGAGAATTTTATACTACATCGGACAAAGTGGACTCTCCCTTAATCTTTGCATGCATGAACGTCAGTTAGCCTTCAAACGCTATAACATGTCTTTACTTATATCAATACATACGGACAACTTTGAACACACATTCGACTAAAAAAATGCTGAAACAGTGGATAGAGGGAATGTTAAAAACACCAGTGAATATTCAGAAGCTTGGGGCTCAGATCAATCAGCAATCAACAAACATATTGAAATCGATCAAATCTATCAACCAACTCGAACAATCATGGACAAATATAAGACCAAAAATCAAATCGAAGGCAGATACAATCACAATAAAGAGATAAAAAATGACAGATGATTAACAGTCAACAATAACCAATCAAGATCGGGGTCTACAGAACAAACTGTGAGTCATATGTGAAGAAATTTGAACTTTTCATTTCTACCTGAAGTTTGTGCTGATGATATTGTTCAGGAGAACAACGAAAGTTCTATGACCAAACCATGCAACTAAGAGAATAAAACTCTATCTAAATCATCCACTTGGCCCACAAATCTCCACCACTTTGAAATGAGTTCTAATCGGCAGAATATTTAATTCAAAGTGTCAGAATCTTTGAACTGACTGTGAGATGAGTAATTATATTATGTCCCGACAAGCATGTTGAATGGTAACTTTTGGGATCCATTTATGGACGAATACTATACGTATATTTTTATCGTATAATTGTTAAATAACTAAACTGTTCATATTCATGTCCCTCTTATTATGAGCTTTATTTTGACTTATGAACTATTATTATACGATTTAGCCTACTTGAGTTATGACCTGTCTATCAATTACTACCTCCCATATTCACAGCCACTTTGTGCTCAATCTTGTACTAATGATGTTTCCTATTTTATGGTACGATGTAGTCTGTTTGGTTTGTATATAAACTCAGTATGTTTGAAATATAATGATTCATATTGTAGAGGCTGAGATTGGCGTTCTGAACTTAACTGGCTGGGTTAGGCACGAAGCAGGACGGATAAGTACTCTAGACTGCTGCTCGTACGGGTTTTACGCGTCATTGATCCGATCGATAATTCACTGCTCTCTAATTGGCGGTATCATTACGTTATACATTAACAGGGTACACAGGTTACAAGTTATAATAAATTAGAAGTGTTTACTGTTGTTAAGTTCAAGATGGAAAATGAAAAGAAACAACAACAACAACAACAACAACAGAACTTACTAATACTTCATTCGTTTTTATTAAGATTTTGATAAATTTCACATAGAAATAAACAAACTACTTACCATTATTCTCATTGGAATAAACATTCCATGAGTTATAAAATAATCAGGATCACTAATTCTTGATGTCATTGATGATATTTCAGATTTGGATTTGGATTTCGATTTTAATATTGATTTATTTCCCATTGTTTGAATAGATGATGAATAACTAGATCTAATCTAATATTAAAAGATTTATGGGAGAGAAATTAGTCTTAAAGTACAGAGATACCTTTTCTTTCGAAAAAACAAATCACTCAAAGATTAAACTATAACAATAAATCATTCATTCATATCTATGAATTTGAACAATCAATAATAGTAAGTTTATTTGAAAAAGTGTAAAACTCCTGGATGAATAAAATATGTGATGCTAAGTGATTTAAAGTAGTTACCAGGACAAATCTGACATTGATTACTGATCAATGATCACCCAAACGTGGTTGGGCTTGCCTATCGTGATGATCCAACCAAGCTATACTGGCTGGAATATATGTTCCTATAGGTTCTACCATGCCAGGCAGGTCAATTGGAGAACGGTAAGACTAAAAGCAGCAACTCAAGGTCTGAAGGCGAAGTTGTAATACTGATTGTAAAGGGGTGCGACAGCAGTAAGAACAACCAGCATCTGCAGCGATGCTGCCTTCTCACAAGGAAGGATGGGGTTAAAAAAAGGTCGATCCTAAAAATGTCACGCCTCACCTTACTTCGCGAATTTCCATCTCCGGCGGTAAGGCCCTTTGGAGAACGAAGCTAACACGTTAGAAACCTCCTACAAAAAGGCCGTGTGCAACCGGCCCCAATCAGTTGTCCCCTGGGCTCTGCGGTCATGCCCTCAGGTCGCTAAAGCCAACATTAATCCAAGCTCCTCTTCAGGTTACTCAAGAAATACCCTTCCATGGTGTGGGCAGCCGGGAAGTGATACCAGCCACAATACACGTAACAGCACATGAGACTGCTTAGTGATCAATCAACGTAGACATGTCAGACTTATAGGAGGTCAAATGAGGTATGAATAGTTCAATCGTAGCATTTCAAAATGTTAAACTGGGTGATATGGATTCGGGTTCCATAAGGAATATCAGTTTCCTTAAGTTTAGAATTATGCTTTGTACTTATAAAGAGGGTTTCTTGCTGACTATCCCCAGCCACCTTACACTAAAAATAGTGTACACGATACTGAGTAACATAAAGTAGTGGCCAGATTATAACGCAATATATAACATCTGATTAGTACGAAGGATTCTATAATCATAAAAAATTGTTGGTATTGACTGATCGATCAATGTAAAACGTGTACTATCCAAGATCTTCTAAATGTTTATCATTTATGTCAGTCAGTAATCCCTGAAACTTTTGATAAAGACCCAATCTAGCAAGAAAGAAAGATTTTATAACTAAGTGATTACCTATTAAATTACAGTCAAGAAAACAATCTTTTTGTTAGTAAATTATAACTACTTGTACTGTAAATCATTTTAAAGTTTTGTTTTTTGGCTCATATAACGTGACATTGAATGATATAGTGTTTTACTAAGGCTATTATTAAACAAATCGTGCATACCCGAAAAATGGCTATATTTTGAAATTTATTGTTAGCTAATTGATGCATGTGAAATCGTCTTATGCATGTAGGCCTAAAAAGTGGATGATTACAACAATAATCAACAATGTGTGGTAGATCTAGCTTTTATAGATAGTTGTTTTAGGTGGAAACAAATATCTATGAACAGTATCAACCAAATGCCATGTTACGGTTAATGGTAAGGAAAATCCGCTCTCCTTCTCGAAATGTTCTCGTATGGTTATGTGTATATAGCTACAGACCAGGAAGTTCTACTCACTGCCTTCTTGTAGCGAGGGTTTTGTTTAAGAAATTGAAAGAATTTTAGCATTTTAGCTGATATCAGTTCGTGATGAAAACCATAAATCTAATTCCTAACTCTAACTATCAACTGTAAACCATAATCGTGACCAGTGGAGTTAATCCGTTTCGGGTAGAAACAGGTATCTAACTCAGTACAATCGAAGATGGTCGCGCAATTTCGTGGATTGGTTGGGGTTAAACATTCACACCATTGGATGCCAGCTCAGTGGTCTAGTAGGTTAAGCGTTCGCGCGCGAGACCGAAGGCCCTGTGTTCGAATCTCGCGAGTGGGATCGTGGATGCGCACTGCTGAAGAGTACCACAATAGGACGAAACTGCCGTTCAGTGCTTTCAGGTTTCCAAAGGTGGTGGTCTAACATCAATCGATTCATGATCTCAATCAAAAACTTAACAATCTCCACAACTCCTATACTTATAATCCTTATTCTTCAAACTGCTTTATAACCCTCATTTAACTCTAGTAAGAAGGTGTACATTCTGAAGATCATTACGGCGTCGATCAAATATTGTCCATCAATTATAGTCTCATCAAAACCATTCACACATAACTAACAAGTAATAAACTATTCACATGGTATAACTGATTGATCATCACCTAAATATCATGGATTGATTATCTTTAACCAAAAATTAGAACGAAATAATGAATTGATAAAAGTACTTTATCTAGTAACTATTCATTGAAAACAAACAAACTGTTTACAAACAAACATGTCAATAACTTATCACATGAAACATAATCATCTTTTACAAATATAAACACATGATGTATTTGGTTCGTGTAAAATGTAATCATAAACAATCATAACAACATAAGTAATGATTAGTTACTATGTGCTTTTGTTTTGGGAAGTGTAACTTTCACAAATGATTATGATTATTGAAAGCAACTTACCAATTGTTCATCAGACGAAGGAATGAAATTTAAACGTCGACCACTAGTTGTATTCTTTTCTTGTAAATTATTTAAAGTATAAGTTGGTTGAAGTGATTTATGACGTATTCCATCATAATGTTCTAACAAGAGAGGTGTATTACAAAAACAAAATTAGAGTAAAACTTCAGTAATGAATTGAATGTAGTTCAGTCACGTACACATTGTCATAGTGACATTGAGTTATGTTGGTTTACAAAGTAACATCTTAATCAAAACTTAACAGTTTTAAAGATTATAATTAAGAACACCTGAAAAAAATCTCTACGAATTGACAACTTATTAACACCGTTGAATGCCAGTCAGCTCAGTGGTCTAGTGGTTAAGCGCTCACGCGAGAGACTGATAGGTCCTGGGTTCGAATCCCACGTCGCAGGGTTGTGGATGCGCACTACTGAGAAGTCCTACAATAGGATGAAACGGTCGTCCAGTGCTTCCGGGTTATCCATGGTAGTCTAGCTTCAATTGACTCATGATCTCAACTATTAAAATTACTACAATCTCCACAAAACCCCTTCTGATACTAATGAAACAAAAAAGATTTAACATATTAGTTCATTCGTCATCATTGATATTACGGAAGTACTACTGTTGGATGTGGATAAATATTTGAATGTTAAAGTGTATAGACGCACATCAATTACAGATGAAATGGTAAAAATTAAAGCTGATTGCGTTTAATGAAATATTGTGCAGATTTCTAATGTGGTGTATACTAATTTTGTTGATAGATATAAGTAGTATGTAACACCAATCAGAAGTGAAATGCCTAGGCATCAGAAGATTGAAAAGATCGAGTTGAAGTGAACAAGAATATAAACAGAGAGTAATGGTAATAAAAACAGGAATGAAGGAACGATAAAGTTTTTAAGAGACAAATGATAAAAGATGTGCAGATGAAGTATTTAATGTACAGTTATACAAAAGAACTTTATAATTTTTCATCAATCAATAAATTGATTATCTAAAACAAGTTATCGTTCACTACACTAGCAATTTCTACCAGTTTCTTTTTCTCAATCCGCCTTCAAACATGATAGAATACAAATAATCCGTAGACAAATGTGTTATATTCGGACAAAGAATAAATGAATGGTAACCGTTCGGAAATATTTATGGACAAATCTTATACGTATATTCTTATTGTATGACTGTGAAGTGACTCTGTTATATGTATATTCATATTCCTTTTATTATAAGCTTCCATTTGACCTATTCACTACTACTGTACGATTTACTATTCATAAGTTATTCCCAATTTATTAGTTTCAATCTCCCACACTCACAACCCCTTTTTGGCTTGATCTTGTACAAATGTTATTTTCTATTTTGTGGTACGATGTGGTCTGTTTGGTTTGTATGTAAACCAAGTACATATCACTGCTGCTAAGATTGAGGTTTTGGACTTAATAGACAGGGCTCAACGCAAAAGGACTAATCGGAACTGTAGGCTGCTTGTTCTGGTGTATGCGTCATTAGTTTGGTCTTATAAGTCGGCGGATCTTAATTTGACAGTCGTATTTCATGATGATCGTATAAGCTAAGGACAAAACAAAATAAGTAACAGTTGTGATATGGACAACATAATGACATAAGAACAATTATGCATTGTCATATGTACCGTATATATTAAAAAGACCAAATTTAACATTTACAAAGTTGAATATACACTGTTATACTTTAGTATACAACATAGTGCCTCCAAATGCCCTGATACGACAGAAGGTGGGAAGAGTCCGTTCCCCCTCTCGAAATGCTCTCACATGGCCACGTGCATACAACCACTGACAATGAAGTTCTGTTCACTGTCCTCTCGCGGAGGGGATACTATTTACGAAATTGAAAGGACGAAAAGCGAATGTCCGGAGCTTTAATCGGGTTGGTGGATAGGGATAATCCAACTAGGGGAGTTGGAAAATCCTAATTTCAAACCAATGGTCCACATGTGCATAAGGATCCTGAGGGAACAAATGGCGCATGAACATATTATTGGACATCGGATACCATGAGACTACATTTTCCGACGTTACTCTATTGCCTTGTGGATCAGACCTTTAGGTCAAAGGATCCGGATGTGGTCTCTTAAGAAAACCACCTGCTTTATTTTGAGCACCGGGACAGTATACCAGCCCTCACACAAAACTATGATAGTTTTATTTTCTCATTAGTTAACATAAATTCAAAATGTATTATATGAAGCTATAAACAATGGGAAAGTAAAAAAAACATTGTCAGGAAAACAAGAATGTATACATTGCAAATACAATTCAGCTGATTTATAGTACATATGTAATTCGCAGATTTATTGCTTGTCATTGTTGCTATGTTTTGACTCATGGATGGTTGTTGAAGTTTTAGAAGTAACGTTTGTTGATTTAAAAAGTTTAAGAGTGACATGTTATCTTATTATCAACATTATTATCACTCTATGAGTCTGTAGGGGCTGGTACTATGTCAAGCCCATATGTATAGGTCTTTTAACCCTCTGGATAGGCCAATTTATTCATCATTCCCAAGCCACATTTTCACCATGTTAGTTATTAGCTTGTAGTGACCTACTTTTATCAAGAGAACGCGATTGGTTTAATGGAAACAATCATTATTATAACCAATTGTACCAGTGATTGTTTTACTGTGCTTGTTTGTTTGACTGTACCAAAACACATGCATTCTTCCGTTGATTGTGACCTTGCACGGATTCGGTTAGGCTCAGTAACCACACTTGTACTCCTTTGGCACGATCTCGGTATTCTTTCGATACCACGAGATCGCCAACAAATACATTTCGACTACAGCCATCGACTGCCTCCTGATATTTTGGCTTACGGAGGATCTTATCGGTTAACTGGCACATAGTCTTCCTGCAGTGGTGATCATAGTCAACAACGACTCGACGCCGCACTACAAGCTAACCAACTTTGACTGTTTTTATATGTGAGTGTGTGTGCGTTAATTACTTACCCTATTCATCATATTTCTTTTACTATAAATATCGATTAATGATTGATTAAATAGAATTGGCTCACTCGCTTTCTGCACTGATCGTCATTTCGTTTTGCTTAGCTCTTTCCTTTTCACTTTGTTTCTCTGATTGTCTGTTCAGATGAACGATTGTACGAAATATACGTATTCAAAATCTATTCTCATATTTGATTTATTTAATTCTGTTATGCACCAACGGCTATTTAAGTCAGTGATTACATATGACGGTAGTTGGGATATATATTTCAGTAACAATCAGAAACGATCAAACTGGTATCAGACATAAGGCCACTAAAAGTCTATTAGAGCTACAAAAGTTCCACATCAATGGACTAAATAGGTAATATTACATTAAAAAGAATGTTAATTATAAATAAGGGATCAATAAAATATTAAATAACGTATTAATCAGTACCTGAACGTAATGAAGTTTTGTCCGTTCCTAAGCTTAAATCTTCTTCAATCGATGACAATCCTTGACTGCTTTTATTTAACAAGCCTGTTAACCGGTTTAATTGACTGTTTGCATTTGTCAATCTCTGTCTTAAACACCAATTAGTATCAGACTGAAGGTCTAACTAAATACGAATAAGCATATAAATGAATAGAAAAAAAAACAAGATGTTATATGAAGTTTGATAAACAATGAAAACTAGGTATCATAGCATTTATAATTTATGCGTCATCTGCAACATGGAACCAGGCACATATATGAATCAGTCCAAATTGACATACCTAATTAGTACAAGACGAACACCAAATTCATAGAAACAGTTACTTCAATGGTGGTGTTAGTTCGTAGAAAGAAAGGTATAAAGTAGTTTTAATCTCACAGACGAAGAGTGTTTACACTGACGTCATTGTGATTGATCCTGAGCCATATCACCCAAAGTATCTAACCATTGACTACGATAGTTGGGTGCACCTCAACCAAGTAGTTTGCATCTGCCAACACGGCATAGACCAGAAGTGATTGACTTTATGAACTGATGCTATGTTTTGGTTTGGCCGCCACTAACTTTTTTCAATCCGTTGTAGATAGATATAGAAGTAGTCAGTTAGGAGTATGTTTATTTTTCATTTACAAGTAAAACAATTTCTAGCTTTTGAAAATTAACTGTAGTTTAGTTGTATAAAATATTCTCTTAAGTATATTGACGGCTTATTTATCTTTAAATGTTATAATATATGTAGCAAGTTAAGTCATAGAAACTTCATCAGTTGAGATGGTTGGGACACCTGTTACGTATGCCCAACGACCGACTGCTTCGACGTACGATGTCCAGTGGTATAGGAGTAGGTTGGAAGAATGTTAGGGGCGGCCAGACCAAAACATGGCACAAGTCTATGAAGTCACTGACAAGTGGACTGAGTCATGTTGGTAGGTGTAGACTACCTGGTTGGGGACCGCGAGATAATAGCAAACGATGGTTAGAGACCCTGAATGACATGACTCAAAATCGTTTGCGATGGCGCAGGTGCATCTACTCTTTGTGTTCTTCCAAATTCTAATCTTCTGATTCCTCCTTGTCTCTTTTTTCTCTTTCCAAATTTACTTCACTGGATTATACTCTTTCAATAACATCTACAAACCCTAATCTTTCCGATTACTGCTTATACTCTTACTACCTCTACCACTACGGGAATTGAATCGACAACTGCATATCTGTTCTAATGTGGTATGGCAACTCGAACTGATGTACGTACGTACGAAGTTCTACGTTGTTAGTGACTGACTGACTGAAGTCATAGAAACGAAGTTTCATGTTCCTATATGTGAATCGTTTATTGAAAAACTGTTTCTCAACTGTTGTTTTTCAAAAGGAAAGAATTTTCTTCATTAATTCATCCTATATTACAGACAACATGTATCCGAATTCATATAGAGTGAATAAAACTGTTATTTCTGTAAAATAGCACCCAGATGTATAGAAGTTGGTTAGTTGCCAGTTCCATCTTTATTTTGTAGAGATAGATCATCCTATCTTTTCAGAATTACACCATAAAAGGAGATGAATGAATTTACTTCATTTTTAGGGTTGAATGAACAATTTTGGAAGAAGGTAAAACATCAGCTGTGTAAACATTCTCATCACAAATGACCAATGTGTCGTCTATATTACGTAAACAAGTTGAAGCATTTAATAACTTATTCGAATAGATGATTTTCAAGTTTCAACATGCGATAATACACTAAGAATGGGGGGGCACAGCAGATCTTATGGCAATCATATCCTTTTGGTCTATAAAACCACATTATGTTAACATTGAGATTGAAGCGTTAAGATTGTCATATAACAATATACACAATCAGTTAAATGCATAAAATGTTTTTATGGAGATCATGAATCGATCGATGTTAAACCACCATTGGAAACCTGAAAATACTGGACAACCATTTCGTCCTATCATAGGACTCCTCAGGAATGTGCATCTACGAACCCAGGACCTTCGGTTTCGCGCGTGAACACTCAAACCTCTAGACTAATGAACCGGCATCCAGTGGTGTTAATGTCTAACTTCAACCAATCCACGGAAATTCATTTTACTTACTTCAGATGTAACAATATGATATTGATCTAAAAGATATTTGGCTAAACTGCGTAATTCATGCAAATTTCTCAAATGATCCACAGAACTAATTAATTCATTTATTGATGCTTTTTCTGAACGTCTTGGATAAGTTAAATTTGTTGTAAAACTTAAATTAGATGAATCAGATATTTCAGAGATCTGTTTAGATTGTGAAAACGATGTAGTAGTTGTAGTGGTATTAGTAGGTGTAATAGATGAAAGAGTTTGAATAAAACAAGTAACTCCTGAAGTTGTCGTTGTAGTGATACTTACAACACTTGTACTACATACTGGATGTTCTTCTAATAATGATGATGTTAAACATGGAGAAAATGAGAGAGATGATTGAAGGCTTTTTTGAACACTTTTTTCATGAGTTTGTTGTTGTATACTATTGTTTATTGGGATAGTTGTTAATAATTTCGTCAAGATATTGATTAACTCTTCTTGTCTGCGTTCAGATAATAATGGTTTTTTCGATTCAAGAAAATGTTGATTCATTTGATTTAATGCATTCAATGCATTTTGAACTAACGTATACAAATGTTGTTCATACCACTGAAAAAAAGAAGTATAGAATATTAGTTACTTGTGTATTATATATGAGCGGATTACCTAGTGGGACGGATGACTCACGAACTAACGTGAGCGGTAACCTAGGTGGTAGAGATCTGGCTAATCATCCACTCGACCGATACCCTCAAACCGATTACGAATTCCACAAAGAAATACAGCACAATTACTCTTGGATGGAAAAACAACAAAAAATTAACAAAAGTGGTGCATGTAATGTACGGGGTTGCTCCTCACACGGCAAACTTGAACTGGTTGCAAAAACAGCTATTCTAGTACCGGTAGTTGTGCTGTGTTTTGATGTGGCCTGTTTCCCTCCAGTAGGGCCTACTAGGCCTCACCAACTTGTTTGGCTGGAAGGGGGGACACTTAGTAACTGTGAGAAAAAAACGTGACAAAACAACTGGTTGATAGTCGTAAAATGATCCAAGTGAGTTGGCAAAATAGTTATTCTCTTTTCTTGAACCTAAGCTTTAAACTTCAGTTGAGTTCTGTCACAATAATGAAGTACTGATCAGAGTTCGTTTCAAATCTACAAAAAGTTGGAAAATTTCTGTGTTCCACATCACCGGTATTTATCATATCGTCAATTGCATCCAGTTATCATGAAGAATATCTTTCCAATCAAGCAATAAGTTAGAATAGGTGGTAAATGTTAATAAACTTTGGTTGTTTACCAATATTCGAATACATTTGGAGGAAGTTAGTCTGGTAAACTTGCCTGATTAACGTACGTTTAGATAATACATATGAAATTTCGATTTAACGAATATTCAGTGTCATTTTCCTTCAACTAACGATTGGGTGTACGATCAATAAATACTTGATCTTTCTGGGCGGAAAAAAGCACATTAAATTTATATAATTCATTCTCAATTATAGAGCATTGAGAGAATCGGAAAAGTAAACAACATCGAATGTGTTCCATAATCTATAAATAAAGTGGAGATATTTAGCTTCTTAGGTCTTATTAGTAATATTCAGCTAGGAACTAATCATGCAGTTGATTTACAGTAGAGCAATAAATTGAGATGTCTTCTGACTCTAAATGACTTATTTTTATCCCACTTATTTTCTTTGAAATAACGACAGTCAATGGAATTATAGTACCATTTCGATAATGCAATGAGAAGACGGAGTTTATCAGAATTATTTTGGACCCAATGAATGCACAAATGTTTCTTAGGCTGGCGGTTCGTATCTGCCTCGTCAATGTCTAATGCTTAGATAAAGTTGGTGGGTATGGAGCATCCATCTGAGGAGGTTGGAAAACTGATTCCAAAACAATGGTGAACATGAACTCCAGAATCCTGAGAGATCGAATGGATTCGGAACCTATTGTTGGTAACCAGATATTGTAGGATTGCATCTCCTAACATTGCCCCATTACCTTGTGGACCATAGGCACGGATGTGGTCCCCTAGTAGGACCACCTGCTTTGGCTTGAGTACCCAGATAGTATTACGGCTCACAAACAAATCCAATGATTTGTTTGGTACCCTTTTGTAACAATATTTACGTGTTTACATAAACAGATAGACAGACAGAAATCCTATCGAAAATCAAATCAACAGTCAGATTTTCATTGTTCCGATACTGTTTATCGGTTATAAGTTAAATGATAACCGTCAGCCACAAACAAAATGACACTAAGCACATATGAGTAACAATAGAAGCTGCCACATCACATCAAGATGACAACAGGAAGTTAAGAGAAAAAAAATGCCATCTAGTTTTCAAATACTCATCTACTGATCATAAATCCTTTTTGAGGTATACAGATGGCGACATTCTTTGTAGGACACTTGTATAGGTAAACACATTCAGCGCAAATTAGCCTCCTGTAGTTATTCTCATGAAAGTGATCATTAATAATGAGAAGATTATAGGGGATTCAACATTGTTTACTACTATAACCCCTAAATGCCCTGGTACGGCTGAGAGTGGGGAATCCGCTCTCCCTCTCGAAATGCTCTCACATGGCCACGCATATATAGCCTCTGCCAGGGAAGTCCTAATCATTGCCTTCTCGTGGCCGGGGTTATGTTTACGAAAATGAGAGCACGAAAAGAGAATGTCCGGCGCTTTAACCGGATCACAAACCAAATCAATGGATCACATGAGCTCCAGTATCCTGAAGGAACAAATGGCGTATGAACCAATTGTTGGTCACCGGCTTCCATGGGACTGCATCTCCTTACGATGCTCCACTGCCTTGTGAATCAGACCTTCAGGTCGAAGGCTCGGGGAGTGGCCCCCTAAGAAAACCACCTGTTTTGGTTTGGGCACCCGAGCAATATCACAGCCCTCACACATATCAAATGAGATTTGTGTGGTGCATATGTATTTGGTGCCTCCTTGTACCAATATGTATGTGTTAAAATAAATCAATAAATAATTATTAGAAAATTAATAATAAAATATCACTTACATCCATATCTTCATGATAAGATATTTGATCAGTAGATTGATTTGTCATTTCTATTGTTTCAACATTTATAAATAATTGATTCTTGGAAGTGGATGATATTCTATCGATTTGTTGTTCAATAGATTCTTGTGATTCGAACATATTGATATTAATACGATGAATTGGTATACTATTTATATCGATTGGATCTATATTTTCCCAATATATGAATTTATTAAGTTTCTTTATGAGAAATTGATTGTTTAATATAGATGGAGATAGATTATATTTATTATGGTTTATTAATTCTTCGTCTTCAGATTTATTATTTGTTGAGATGATGTATAATAGTTCCGTATCACGTAAATGTAATAAACGTAGAACAAACTCGAGTGAATATTGGTCCGTATTGTTAGTAGATTTTGTATAATTGTTTGAAATGATAGTCTGAAATTGTTCTTTATCATGAATTCTATTAACATTAGAAGAATCATGTGATTGTTTCTCGTCACTTATAAAATCTACATCATTTGTAATAGGTACTTTAGTTGAAAATGATATCACTTCATCGATAGAATCAATAACAGAAGTATCTTTCAATTCATTAGTAGAATAATCTCTTCTTATATCCAGTAAGCTTTGTTCTGTGACATTGACATTGAAATCTTCTTCAACTATTCCACTCACATCAAAAGAACTATGTGATTGTTTCTCATCACTTAACGAATGTACATCAGGTGGAATAGGTACTTTAGTTAAAAGTAATATAACTTCATCTGTAGAATCGATAACAGGAGAATTTTTCAATTCATTAGAATAATCTTTTCTTACATCCAGTAAACTTTGTTCTTCAACTATTCTACTAACATCAGAAGAACGATGTGATTGTTTCTGATCAATTTTAATCGGCACTTTAGTTAAAAGTGATATCACTTCATCTGTAGAATCAATAACAGAAGTATCTTTCAATTCATTAGTAGAATAATCTCTTCTTATATCCAGTAAGCTTTGTTCTGTGACATTGACATTGAAATCTTCTTCAACTATTCCACTCACATCAAAAGAACTATCTGATTGTTTCTCATCACTTAACAAATGTACATCAGGTGGAATAGGTACTTTAGTTAAAAGTAATATAACTTCATCTGTAGAATCGATAACAGGAGAATTTTTCAATTCATTAGAATAATCTTTTCTTACATCCAGTAAACTTTGTTCTTCAACTATTCTACTAACATCAGAAGAACGATGTGATTGTTTCTGATCAATTTTAATCGGCACTTTAGTTAAAAGTGATATCACTTCATCTGTAGAATCAATAACAGAAGTATCTTTCAATTCATTAGTAGAATAATCTCTTCTTATATCCAGTAAGCTTTGTTCTGTGACATTGACATTGAAATCTTCTTCAACTATTCTACTCACATCAAAAGAACTATCTGGTTGTTTCTCATCACTTAACAAATGTACATCAGGTGGAATAGGTACTTTAGTTAAAAGTAATATAACTTCATCTGTAGAATCGATAACAGGAGAATTTTTCAATTCATTAGAATAATCTTTTCTTACATCCAGTAAACTTTGTTCTTCAACTATTCTACTAACATCAGAAGAACGATGTGATTGTTTCTGATCAATTTTAATCGGCACTTTAGTTAAAAGTGATATCACTTCATCTGTAGAATCGATAACAGAAGCATCTTTCAATTCACCAGTAGAATAATCTCTTCTTATATCCAATAAACTTTGTTCTGTGACATTGAAATCTTCTTCAACTATTCTACTCACATCAAAAGAACTATCTGGTTGTTTCTCATCACTTAACAAATGTACATCAGGTGGAATAGGTACTTTAGTTAAAAGTAATATAACTTCATCTGTAGAATCGATAACAGGAGAATTTTTCAATTCATTAGAATAATCTTTTCTTACATCCAGTAAACTTTGTTCTTCAACTATTCTACTAACATCAGAAGAACGATGTGATTGTTTCTGATCAATTTTAATCGGCACTTTAGTTAAAAGTGATATCACTTCATCTGTAGAATCAATAACAGAAGTATCTTTCAATTCATTAGTAGAATAATCTCTTCTTATATCCAGTAAGCTTTGTTCTGTGACATTGACATTGAAATCTTCTTCAACTATTCCACTCACATCAAAAGAACTATGTGATTGTTTCTCATCACTTAACGAATGTACATCAGGTGGAATAGGTACTTTAGTTAAAAGTAATATAACTTCATCTGTAGAATCGATAACAGGAGAATTTTTCAATTCATTAGAATAATCTTTTCTTACATCCAGTAAACTTTGTTCTTCAACTATTCTACTAACATCAGAAGAACGATGTGATTGTTTCTGATCAATTTTAATCGGCACTTTAGTTAAAAGTGATATCACTTCATCTGTAGAATCAATAACAGAAGTATCTTTCAATTCATTAGTAGAATAATCTCTTCTTATATCCAGTAAGCTTTGTTCTGTGACATTGACATTGAAATCTTCTTCAACTATTCCACTCACATCAAAAGAACTATCTGATTGTTTCTCATCACTTAACAAATGTACATCAGGTGGAATAGGTACTTTAGTTAAAAGTGATATAACTTCATCTGTAGAATCGATAACAGAAGCATCTTTCAATTCACCAGTAGAATAATCTCTTCTTATATCCAATAAACTTTGTTCTGTGACATTGAAATCTTCTTCAACTATTCTACTCACATCAAAAGAACTATCTGGTTGTTTCTCATCACTTAACAAATGTACATCAGGTGGAATAGGTACTTTAGTTAAAAGTAATATAACTTCATCTGTAGAATCGATAACAGGAGAATTTTTCAATTCATTAGAATAATCTTTTCTTACATCCAGTAAACTTTGTTCTTCAACTATTCTACTAACATCAGAAGAACGATGTGATTGTTTCTGATCAATTTTAATCGGCACTTTAGTTAAAAGTGATATCACTTCATCTGTAGAATCAATAACAGAAGTATCTTTCAATTCATTAGTAGAATAATCTCTTCTTATATCCAGTAAGCTTTGTTCTGTGACATTGACATTGAAATCTTCTTCAACTATTCCACTCACATCAAAAGAACTATGTGATTGTTTCTCATCACTTAACGAATGTACATCAGGTGGAATAGGTACTTTAGTTAAAAGTAATATAACTTCATCTGTAGAATCGATAACAGGAGAATTTTTCAATTCATTAGAATAATCTTTTCTTACATCCAGTAAACTTTGTTCTTCAACTATTCTACTAACATCAGAAGAACGATGTGATTGTTTCTGATCAATTTTAATCGGCACTTTAGTTAAAAGTGATATCACTTCATCTGTAGAATCAATAACAGAAGTATCTTTCAATTCATTAGTAGAATAATCTCTTCTTATATCCAGTAAGCTTTGTTCTGTGACATTGACATTGAAATCTTCTTCAACTATTCCACTCACATCAAAAGAACTATCTGATTGTTTCTCATCACTTAACAAATGTACATCAGGTGGAATAGGTACTTTAGTTAAAAGTGATATAACTTCATCTGTAGAATCGATAACAGAAGCATCTTTCAATTCACCAGTAGAATAATCTCTTCTTATATCCAATAAACTTTGTTCTGTGACATTGAAATCTTCTTCAACTATTCTACTCACATCAAAAGAACTATCTGGTTGTTTCTCATCACTTAACAAATGTACATCAGGTGGAATAGGTACTTTAGTTAAAAGTAATATAACTTCATCTGTAGAATCGATAACAGGAGAATTTTTCAATTCATTAGAATAATCTTTTCTTACATCCAGTAAACTTTGTTCTTCAACTATTCTACTAACATCAGAAGAACGATGTGATTGTTTCTGATCAATTTTAATCGGCACTTTAGTTAAAAGTGATATCACTTCATCTGTAGAATCAATAACAGAAGTATCTTTCAATTCATTAGTAGAATAATCTCTTCTTATATCCAGTAAGCTTTGTTCTGTGACATTGACATTGAAATCTTCTTCAACTATTCCACTCACATCAAAAGAACTATCTGATTGTTTCTCATCACTTAACAAATGTACATCAGGTGGAATAGGTACTTTAGTTAAAAGTGATATAACTTCATCTGTAGAATCGATAACAGAAGCATCTTTCAATTCACCAGTAGAATAATCTCTTCTTATATCCAATAAACTTTGTTCTGTGACATTGAAATCTTCTTCAACTATTCTACTCACATCAAAAGAACTATCTGGTTGTTTCTCATCACTTAACAAATGTACATCAGGTGGAATAGGTACTTTAGTTAAAAGTGATATCACTTCATCTGTAGAATCGATAACAAGAGTATCTTTCTGATGTTTATTATCAATACATTCAATAGTTTTACTTTTCTCGTTCAAAAATATTTCTTTATCAAGTATATATTGATTTGATACGTAAATCTCTTCTTTTACTTCATTTTCTACATTAGTATTATCTTGATCATCATCATCTAATGTTTTGATTTGTTCAGTATTCTTTTGTTCTATTTGTTGTATCATCTGTTTCCTAATAGAATTTAATTGATTTGTATATAGTTTAATTTTTTCCATGATATTTTCAATCTCTAGATTGATAGAAAGATTCTCTGTATCATTATCATTACTTATGTTGATTGATTCAGTTGACATAGTAACTAAATTATTAGTTACTATGTTATCTATGATAATTGTTTGATTATTAATTGATGATTGTAATTGAATCATTTCAATATGAAGTTTATTACATTCTTTATTTAATTGATTTAATTTATCATTCAATAGATTATATTGATTTTCTATAATACTTATTCTATTGATATAAGTTTGGAAATCTTTAATCAATATATTAAATATTGGCATAATTTCATTTGGATTTAATATATTTATAGAATAATCATCATTCAAATGATTACAAGTCATTGAAAGGATATCTCTTGGTGTTGTTGTTGTTGTCGTAGTTGCGGTTGCTATATCATGATCATTATTGATTTTATTTCGTAAAATCAATAAATCATTCAATATTATATTCATATTGATTTTCCATTGATTATTGATTTTTTTCAAATCAATCAATTGTTGTTGAATACATTTTAAATTATTTAGATCCATTTCAATCTTTTCAATTTTTGTTATGATTTTATTTATTTTATTCAGCAAACAATGACCAGTTTGTAATATAGAATTATTGAATTCGTATTTTTCTTGTTGTTGTTGTTGTGGTGGTGGTGGAGGTGATGATGATGATGATAGAGGTGGTGGAACAAGTACATTGAATTCATTTTCTATAGAACTAGATCTTGTTATTAAATCATTATTAGAATGAATAATATTTTCTACTTTCTTCCAATAACAATATTGATTTGTAGTTTGTTTTAATTCATTTATTTTATTTAAATATAAACCTTCAATTAATAATTGATAAATAATATTATAATTATTTTTATAATCAATAATTTCTTTGATTAATTCTTTTCTATTATTTAATAAATAATCAATAAATTTAAAGTATTGATTACATTCAATTGATTCTTCATTGGATATTGATTTATTATTATTATTATTGACTAATAATTGGAATATGTTTAATTCTTTTGTAATTTCATTCAATATTTTATGATATAATTGATTATTGATTATTATTAATTGATTATTTTGTTTAGTTAAATATAAATTTTCAAAATAAATTTTTTCAATTTCTAATTGTGTATCATTATTGAATTTCTTTTGTATTTCTTTTTCTTTTTCTTCTTTTTCTTTGACTTCTTCTTGTTCATGATGTCTATTTAGTCTTATATTATATAATAGATGAGATAATCGATTTATTTCTGATTTAGCAATAAGAAGTTGATGTTCAAGATCAATTTGTTGAGTTTTATTAGATATTGATTGTTGTGATATAAATTGTGGATAAATTGTATTAGAATGATGATCAGATAACAAATCACCAGAAGCGTTCACATCATGATTATGATCATCATAATCATCATCGGTACCATTCATTGGATTAATGTGAGGATATTGTGCTTTTAACATGTCATTGTAAACATCGGGATGTTGGATAGAAGAAATACAACGAATACATAAAATACATATAAAACTATGATGACAAACGTCTTGGATTTTACATAAACTACAGGAAGATAGACAACCGGATAACAGTAATTCATGTAGATTACTGAAATATGTCAAACTATTAGAATAATCACCAAAACCATCAACAAAATTAGAAGATTTTAAAAAAGAAACAATATCCGACAAAAGATCTATAAAATCAGCACAGAATATACGATCAAAATTGGTATTTGAAAATCTAGAGAAATCCAAAAGTAAATTCACAAAAACTGAAAGCAACTTCATACATAAATCAACAAAATCCGTAGCAAATGCTAACGACATTGAAATTCTTGAAAATTTCTGCTTAAGATCAGAAAGCTCATCATGTAAAAATATACTATGTGCACTAGCGACATCAGCATTAAGACAAAAACCAAGTTTATCTGACAAAAGAACACGACGAGAGCGTATATCAGACACCACATTACTGCTCTCCAACAAATCCATATTTGCACGCATTATGTCCAAATCACGTCGTTCTGCCTCTACAGTCTCCCTCAACTCATTCACTTCGTCTCGTAAATGACGCTTCTCCTCTCTCAGATCCGCCACTTCACTCTCCTTCACAGTCAACAAACGCCGGACATCCATCAACGAAGCATCACTCTCCTCCACCGATCTAGACAGCTTCACTATCTGTTCATAACAAGACGTCAACTCTTCGCGCAGTTGACCAACCACATTCGACTCATCTTCACACAAACCTGAACTCACTACCTTCTCTCTCGTCATCTCCAATGGACTCCTGGTCGACTGATCTACGGTCGACTGATCGGTAAATCCTGAAGTTGACAATGTGTCAGTAGCCAACCAAGATACGCTGTCTGTCGCTTGAGTCTCCACACTCACAAGTCTAGTCGGAGAACCAACCGACACACTAGGCTTGTGCTCGTCGTGTATGCATTCTGAGGAGTAGTCGCTCCAACCGTCAACAACCATGCAATTCGACTCGTCGTCCTCTGCATCTTTACCAACGCCCACGCTCACAGTCTCTCTCGTATCACTAGTGAACCCTGATGACAAAGCTAAATCACGTTCAATCATACGATCTAGCACGTCAGTTCCCATGTCACTTCTGCACACTGTTTTTGCCAACCTGGCGTCCACATCGTCTGTCATATCCAACCTACTACGCAGTTCCAACAACTCTTTCATGGCTGTGTCGCGTTCTCTCACAATTTCGTTTACGCGCGACTCCCAGTCTCGACTGGCTATCGCCAACACTGTGTTGCAATGCTCTTCCATCGATGTCTCAAGCCGACACACTTGATCCCGTAGTGCAGAACACTCGTCACGAGAAGCAGACAGTTGACTCTCCAGATCTGACATTGCGCAAACCTTCTCGTGTCTATAGGCCTCCAGTTCCTCTCGGGCAGTTGACGCCTGTTCGACTGCCTGACGAAGAGCTGTTTGCATCAACACCATCTCAGATGCCTGCTTATCACACAGGTCTCGACACTTGCAGAGCTCCTCAGACAGCTCACGGTTCCGGTCGCACAGTCTGCTCATCTCACTTACCGAATCCCAATCTTGTCCTCTCTGCATCGACGTCACTTCATGAGACTCTTGCAGTCGCACAAAGCTATCAAGCATAACAGTAGACTCCAAGTGTTCTGGCCATGTCATTGTCTCACACTCACGGTCCACGTGTTCAACCACACCATGGGACAACCCTGTTGTGACGGCATCTAAACACTCCTGCACTCGTTGTTTGTGCTCTCTGCACCAATCTCCATAGTCGGAACGCAGACCTCTTATATGGTCAACCACAAACGCCAACAGTGCTTTCGTCTTGGTCACATCATTCTCCAAGTCAGTAATCACAGTCATATAACTCTCTAGACGACGCTTCAGCGACTCACACTCACAGATCAGGGCATTGTTCATTGACTCACATTCTCTCAGTTTCTCAGTGACTGCCTCCAGCTCGAATGATTGTGTATCCAGTGCACGCTGCAAATCCTCTCGCAACCCGTCTGATGTGCAACGGTCAGTCGACGAGCCTTCGTGTGCATAGTCGATGTCTTGCACTGGTGACGTGGATCGACCAACTGTTTCGCACAGGCGATGTGAAACCCGTTCGTACTCACTCATTCTGTTCGCCATTTCGGCGCGGTCAGCATTCGCCTCAGCATGTGCTGCACGCAATTCTCTCACCTGCTTCAACAAGAAACCCAGTGATCCTCTGACCTCATCCATCTCCATGCACACATCGTCCAACAGTGTCACGCGCTCTGAAATCTTACTTCGTAACAAGTCTACCTCTGTCATCAGCTCTTTGTTGTGCTTCGACAGTGCATCAGCTTCGTCCGTCACTTTCATCGACCGGTCAGGCACACGAGAACTAAGAGGCATCACATCCATCGGCTTATCTTCACACATCATAACGCCTTCCAGCTCAAGCAGACGCACACTCAACTCTGTCTTGGCATTCTCAAGTTCGCAGATTCTGCTCATGGCCTCCTTCAATCGCGCTCTTAGGCTGTCTGTATTCAACAGGGCAAGTTCGAGATCGTCATTGTCTTGTTCACTCGGCGGTTTCGTCCAACTCTGAGTGGCGTGAATGGGCAAGACCACTTCGTCGTTCGAAACGCCCTCAACACACAAGTCCGTAGTTTGTCTGTCCATTCGATCAGGCACAATGCCTGACACTGAGTCGCCTGCAACAGTCTCCACCAGCTGCATGTCAGGAACTCCGGCAAACACGTCTGCCTCCACTCTGTCTGTGTCATCAACCTCTGCCAACTCACGGACAACCACATCGGGCGCCTTTCTCACAGTCTCACAAGGAATCCACCAAGTTGTCTCGTTCACCATCATACGTGACTCCGGTTCCTGCACTTCCGTCTGTTTCATGCTCAACTCGAGCTGTGAACGCTCCAGAGCCGCCAACGTCGCCGCATTTTCCTCACGCAGATGGGCAACCTCGAGCTGCAACGTCGACACCAGGTCAAAAACTTCGTCGTCAATCTCCGTCTGCACACACTCCTCCTCCACAGCAGCAGCAGCAGCAGCAGCAGCAGCAGCAGCAACGTTCGGTCCACGACACTCCTCGCACATCGCCGACACCTCTTCTTTGCTCTCCAACACATCCATATTTGCACGCATTATGTCCAAATCACGTCGTTCTGCCTCTACAGTCTCCCTCAACTCATTCACTTCGTCTCGTAAATGACGCTTCTCCTCTCTCAGATCCGCCACTTCACTCTCCTTCACAGTCAACAAACGCCGGACATCCATCAACGAAGCATCACTCTCCTCCACCGATCTAGACAGCTTCACTATCTGTTCATAACAAGACGTCAACTCTTCGCGCAGTTGACCAACCACATTCGACTCATCTTCACACAAACCTGAACTCACTACCTTCTCTCTCGTCATCTCCAATGGACTCCTGGTCGACTGATCTACGGTCGACTGATCGGTAAATCCTGAAGTTGACAATGTGTCAGTAGCCAACCAAGATACGCTGTCTGTCGCTTGAGTCTCCACACTCACAAGTCTAGTCGGAGAACCAACCGACACACTAGGCTTGTGCTCGTCGTGTATGCATTCTGAGGAGTAGTCGCTCCAACCGTCAACAACCATGCAATTCGACTCGTCGTCCTCTGCATCTTTACCAACGCCCACGCTCACAGTCTCTCTCGTATCACTAGTGAACCCTGATGACAAAGCTAAATCACGTTCAATCATACGATCTAGCACGTCAGTTCCCATGTCACTTCTGCACACTGTTTTTGCCAACCTGGCGTCCACATCGTCTGTCATATCCAACCTACTACGCAGTTCCAACAACTCTTTCATGGCTGTGTCGCGTTCTCTCACAATTTCGTTTACGCGCGACTCCCAGTCTCGACTGGCTATCGCCAACACTGTGTTGCAATGCTCTTCCATCGATGTCTCAAGCCGACACACTTGATCCCGTAGTGCAGAACACTCGTCACGAGAAGCAGACAGTTGACTCTCCAGATCTGACATTGCGCAAACCTTCTCGTGTCTATAGGCCTCCAGTTCCTCTCGGGCAGTTGACGCCTGTTCGACTGCCTGACGAAGAGCTGTTTGCATCAACACCATCTCAGATGCCTGCTTATCACACAGGTCTCGACACTTGCAGAGCTCCTCAGACAGCTCACGGTTCCGGTCGCACAGTCTGCTCATCTCACTTACCGAATCCCAATCTTGTCCTCTCTGCATCGACGTCACTTCATGAGACTCTTGCAGTCGCACAAAGCTATCAAGCATAACAGTAGACTCCAAGTGTTCTGGCCATGTCATTGTCTCACACTCACGGTCCACGTGTTCAACCACACCATGGGACAACCCTGTTGTGACGGCATCTAAACACTCCTGCACTCGTTGTTCGTGCTCTCTGCACCAATCTCCATAGTCGGAACGCAGACCTCTTATATGGTCAACCACAAACGCCAACAGTGCTTTCGTCTTGGTCACATCATTCTCCAAGTCAGTAATCACAGTCATATAACTCTCTAGACGACGCTTCAGCGACTCACACTCACAGATCAGGGCATTGTTCATTGACTCACATTCTCTCAGTTTCTCAGTGACTGCCTCCAGCTCGAATGATTGTGTATCCAGTGCACGCTGCAAATCCTCTCGCAACCCGTCTGATGTGCAACGGTCAGTCGACGAGCCTTCGTGTGCATAGTCGATGTCTTGCACTGGTGACGTGGATCGACCAACTGTTTCGCACAGGCGATGTGAAACCCGTTCGTACTCACTCATTCTGTTCGCCATTTCGGCGCGGTCAGCATTCGCCTCAGCATGTGCTGCACGCAATTCTCTCACCTGCTTCAACAAGAAACCCAGTGATCCTCTGACCTCATCCATCTCCATGCACACATCGTCCAACAGTGTCACGCGCTCTGAAATCTTACTTCGTAACAAGTCTACCTCTGTCATCAGCTCTTTGTTGTGCTTCGACAGTGCATCAGCTTCGTCCGTCACTTTCATCGACCGGTCAGGCACACGAGAACTAAGAGGCATCACATCCATCGGCTTATCTTCACACATCATAACGCCTTCCAGCTCAAGCAGACGCACACTCAACTCTGTCTTGGCATTCTCAAGTTCGCAGATTCTGCTCATGGCCTCCTTCAATCGCGCTCTTAGGCTGTCTGTATTCAACAGGGCAAGTTCGAGATCGTCATTGTCTTGTTCACTCGGCGGTTTCGTCCAACTCTGAGTGGCGTGAATGGGCAAGACCACTTCCTCGTTCGAAACGCCCTCAACACACAAGTCCGTAGTTTGTCTGTCCATTCGATCAGGCACAATGCCTGACACTGAGTCGCCTGCAACAGTCTCCACCAGCTGCATGTCAGGAACTCCGGCAAACACGTCTGCCTCCACTCTGTCTGTGTCATCAACCTCTGCCAACTCACGGACAACCACATCGGGCGCCTTTCTCACAGTCTCACAAGGAATCCACCAAGTTGTCTCGTTCACCATCATACGTGACTCCGGTTCCTGCACTTCCGTCTGTTTCATGCTCAACTCGAGCTGTGAACGCTCCAGAGCCGCCAACGTCGCCGCATTTTCCTCACGCAGATGGGCAACCTCGAGCTGCAACGTCGACACCAGGTCAAAAACTTCGTCGTCAATCTCCGTCTGCACACACTCCTCCTCCACAGCAGCAGCAGCAGCAGCAGCAGCAGCAGCAACGTTCGGTCCACGACACTCCTCGCACATCGCCGACACCTCTTCTTTGCTCTCCAACACATCCATATTTGCACGCATTATGTCCAAATCACGTCGTTCTGCCTCTACAGTCTCCCTCAACTCATTCACTTCGTCTCGTAAATGACGCTTCTCCTCTCTCAGATCCGCCACTTCACTCTCCTTCACAGTCAACAAACGCCGGACATCCATCAACGAAGCATCACTCTCCTCCACCGATCTAGACAGCTTCACTATCTGTTCATAACAAGACGTCAACTCTTCGCGCAGTTGACCAACCACATTCGACTCATCTTCACACAAACCTGAACTCACTACCTTCTCTCTCGTCATCTCCAATGGACTCCTGGTCGACTGATCTACGGTCGACTGATCGGTAAATCCTGAAGTTGACAATGTGTCAGTAGCCAACCAAGATACGCTGTCTGTCGCTTGAGTCTCCACACTCACAAGTCTAGTCGGAGAACCAACCGACACACTAGGCTTGTGCTCGTCGTGTATGCATTCTGAGGAGTAGTCGCTCCAACCGTCAACAACCATGCAATTCGACTCGTCGTCCTCTGCATCTTTACCAACGCCCACGCTCACAGTCTCTCTCGTATCACTAGTGAACCCTGATGACAAAGCTATATCACGTTCAATCATACGATCTAGCACGTCAGTTCCCATGTCACTTCTGCACACTGTTTTTGCCAACCTGGCGTCCACATCGTCTGTCATATCCAACCTACTACGCAGTTCCAACAACTCTTTCATGGCTGTGTCGCGTTCTCTCACAATTTCGTTTACGCGCGACTCCCAGTCTCGACTGGCTATCGCCAACACTGTGTTGCAATGCTCTTCCATCGATGTCTCAAGCCGACACACTTGATCCCGTAGTGCAGAACACTCGTCACGAGAAGCAGACAGTTGACTCTCCAGATCTGACATTGCGCAAACCTTCTCGTGTCTATAGGCCTCCAGTTCCTCTCGGGCAGTTGACGCCTGTTCGACTGCCTGACGAAGAGCTGTTTGCATCAACACCATCTCAGATGCCTGCTTATCACACAGGTCTCGACACTTGCAGAGCTCCTCAGACAGCTCACGGTTCCGGTCGCACAGTCTGCTCATCTCACTTACCGAATCCCAATCTTGTCCTCTCTGCATCGACGTCACTTCATGAGACTCTTGCAGTCGCACAAAGCTATCAAGCATAACAGTAGACTCCAAGTGTTCTGGCCATGTCATTGTCTCACACTCACGGTCCACGTGTTCAACCACACCATGGGACAACCCTGTTGTGACGGCATCTAAACACTCCTGCACTCGTTGTTCGTGCTCTCTGCACCAATCTCCATAGTCGGAACGCAGACCTCTTATATGGTCAACCACAAACGCCAACAGTGCTTTCGTCTTGGTCACATCATTCTCCAAGTCAGTAATCACAGTCATATAACTCTCTAGACGACGCTTCAGCGACTCACACTCACAGATCAGGGCATTGTTCATTGACTCACATTCTCTCAGTTTCTCAGTGACTGCCTCCAGCTCGAATGATTGTGTATCCAGTGCACGCTGCAAATCCTCTCGCAACCCGTCTGATGTGCAACGGTCAGTCGACGAGCCTTCGTGTGCATAGTCGATGTCTTGCACTGGTGACGTGGATCGACCAACTGTTTCGCACAGGCGATGTGAAACCCGTTCGTACTCACTCATTCTGTTCGCCATTTCGGCGCGGTCAGCATTCGCCTCAGCATGTGCTGCACGCAATTCTCTCACCTGCTTCAACAAGAAACCCAGTGATCCTCTGACCTCATCCATCTCCATGCACACATCGTCCAACAGTGTCACGCGCTCTGAAATCTTACTTCGTAACAAGTCTACCTCTGTCATCAGCTCTTTGTTGTGCTTCGACAGTGCATCAGCTTCGTCCGTCACTTTCATCGACCGGTCAGGCACACGAGAACTAAGAGGCATCACATCCATCGGCTTATCTTCACACATCATAACGCCTTCCAGCTCAAGCAGACGCACACTCAACTCTGTCTTGGCATTCTCAAGTTCGCAGATTCTGCTCATGGCCTCCTTCAATCGCGCTCTTAGGCTGTCTGTATTCAACAGGGCAAGTTCGGGATCGTCATTGTCTTGTTCACTCGGCGGTTTCGTCCAACTCTGAGTGGCGTGAATGGGCAAGACCACTTCCTCGTTCGAAACGCCCTCAACACACAAGTCCGTAGTTTGTCTGTCCATTCGATCAGGCACAATGCCTGACACTGAGTCGCCTGCAACAGTCTCCACCAGCTGCATGTCAGGAACTCCGGCAAACACGTCTGCCTCCACTCTGTCTGTGTCATCAACCTCTGCCAACTCACGGACAACCACATCGGGCGCCTTTCTCACAGTCTCACAAGGAATCCACCAAGTTGTCTCGTTCACCATCATACGTGACTCCGGTTCCTGCACTTCCGTCTGTTTCATGCTCAACTCGAGCTGTGAACGCTCCAGAGCCGCCAACGTCGCCGCATTTTCCTCACGCAGATGGGCAACCTCGAGCTGCAACGTCGACACCAGGTCAAAAACTTCGTCGTCAATCTCCGTCTGCACACACTCCTCCTCCACAGCAGCAGCAGCAGCAGCAGCAGCAGCAACGTTCGGTCCACGACACTCCTCGCACATCGCCGACACCTCTTCTTTGCTCTCCAACACATCCATATTTGCACGCATTATGTCCAAATCACGTCGTTCTGCCTCTACAGTCTCCCTCAACTCATTCACTTCGTCTCGTAAATGACGCTTCTCCTCTCTCAGATCCGCCACTTCACTCTCCTTCACAGTCAACAAACGCCGGACATCCATCAACGAAGCATCACTCTCCTCCACCGATCTAGACAGCTTCACTATCTGTTCATAACAAGACGTCAACTCTTCGCGCAGTTGACCAACCACATTCGACTCATCTTCACACAAACCTGAACTCACTACCTTCTCTCTCGTCATCTCCAATGGACTCCTGGTCGACTGATCTACGGTCGACTGATCGGTAAATCCTGAAGTTGACAATGTGTCAGTAGCCAACCAAGATACGCTGTCTGTCGCTTGAGTCTCCACACTCACAAGTCTAGTCGGAGAACCAACCGACACACTAGGCTTGTGCTCGTCGTGTATGCATTCTGAGGAGTAGTCGCTCCAACCGTCAACAACCATGCAATTCGACTCGTCGTCCTCTGCATCTTTACCAACGCCCACGCTCACAGTCTCTCTCGTATCACTAGTGAACCCTGATGACAAAGCTATATCACGTTCAATCATACGATCTAGCACGTCAGTTCCCATGTCACTTCTGCACACTGTTTTTGCCAACCTGGCGTCCACATCGTCTGTCATATCCAACCTACTACGCAGTTCCAACAACTCTTTCATGGCTGTGTCGCGTTCTCTCACAATTTCGTTTACGCGCGACTCCCAGTCTCGACTGGCTATCGCCAACACTGTGTTGCAATGCTCTTCCATCGATGTCTCAAGCCGACACACTTGATCCCGTAGTGCAGAACACTCGTCACGAGAAGCAGACAGTTGACTCTCCAGATCTGACATTGCGCAAACCTTCTCGTGTCTATAGGCCTCCAGTTCCTCTCGGGCAGTTGACGCCTGTTCGACTGCCTGACGAAGAGCTGTTTGCATCAACACCATCTCAGATGCCTGCTTATCACACAGGTCTCGACACTTGCAGAGCTCCTCAGACAGCTCACGGTTCCGGTCGCACAGTCTGCTCATCTCACTTACCGAATCCCAATCTTGTCCTCTCTGCATCGACGTCACTTCATGAGACTCTTGCAGTCGCACAAAGCTATCAAGCATAACAGTAGACTCCAAGTGTTCTGGCCATGTCATTGTCTCACACTCACGGTCCACGTGTTCAACCACACCATGGGACAACCCTGTTGTGACGGCATCTAAACACTCCTGCACTCGTTGTTCGTGCTCTCTGCACCAATCTCCATAGTCGGAACGCAGACCTCTTATATGGTCAACCACAAACGCCAACAGTGCTTTCGTCTTGGTCACATCATTCTCCAAGTCAGTAATCACAGTCATATAACTCTCTAGACGACGCTTCAGCGACTCACACTCACAGATCAGGGCATTGTTCATTGACTCACATTCTCTCAGTTTCTCAGTGACTGCCTCCAGCTCGAATGATTGTGTATCCAGTGCACGCTGCAAATCCTCTCGCAACCCGTCTGATGTGCAACGGTCAGTCGACGAGCCTTCGTGTGCATAGTCGATGTCTTGCACTGGTGACGTGGATCGACCAACTGTTTCGCACAGGCGATGTGAAACCCGTTCGTACTCACTCATTCTGTTCGCCATTTCGGCGCGGTCAGCATTCGCCTCAGCATGTGCTGCACGCAATTCTCTCACCTGCTTCAACAAGAAACCCAGTGATCCTCTGACCTCATCCATCTCCATGCACACATCGTCCAACAGTGTCACGCGCTCTGAAATCTTACTTCGTAACAAGTCTACCTCTGTCATCAGCTCTTTGTTGTGCTTCGACAGTGCATCAGCTTCGTCCGTCACTTTCATCGACCGGTCAGGCACACGAGAACTAAGAGGCATCACATCCATCGGCTTATCTTCACACATCATAACGCCTTCCAGCTCAAGCAGACGCACACTCAACTCTGTCTTGGCATTCTCAAGTTCGCAGATTCTGCTCATGGCCTCCTTCAATCGCGCTCTTAGGCTGTCTGTATTCAACAGGGCAAGTTCGAGATCGTCATTGTCTTGTTCACTCGGCGGTTTCGTCCAACTCTGAGTGGCGTGAATGGGCAAGACCACTTCCTCGTTCGAAACGCCCTCAACACACAAGTCCGTAGTTTGTCTGTCCATTCGATCAGGCACAATGCCTGACACTGAGTCGCCTGCAACAGTCTCCACCAGCTGCATGTCAGGAACTCCGGCAAACACGTCTGCCTCCACTCTGTCTGTGTCATCAACCTCTGCCAACTCACGGACAACCACATCGGGCGCCTTTCTCACAGTCTCACAAGGAATCCACCAAGTTGTCTCGTTCACCATCATACGTGACTCCGGTTCCTGCACTTCCGTCTGTTTCATGCTCAACTCGAGCTGTGAACGCTCCAGAGCCGCCAACGTCGCCGCATTTTCCTCACGCAGATGGGCAACCTCGAGCTGCAACGTCGACACCAGGTCAAAAACTTCGTCGTCAATCTCCGTCTGCACACACTCCTCCTCCACAGCAGCAGCAGCAGCAGCAGCAGCAACGTTCGGTCCACGACACTCCTCGCACATCGCCGACACCTCTTCTTTGCTCTCCAACACATCCATATTTGCACGCATTATGTCCAAATCACGTCGTTCTGCCTCTACAGTCTCCCTCAACTCATTCACTTCGTCTCGTAAATGACGCTTCTCCTCTCTCAGATCCGCCACTTCACTCTCCTTCACAGTCAACAAACGCCGGACATCCATCAACGAAGCATCACTCTCCTCCACCGATCTAGACAGCTTCACTATCTGTTCATAACAAGACGTCAACTCTTCGCGCAGTTGACCAACCACATTCGACTCATCTTCACACAAACCTGAACTCACTACCTTCTCTCTCGTCATCTCCAATGGACTCCTGGTCGACTGATCTACGGTCGACTGATCGGTAAATCCTGAAGTTGACAATGTGTCAGTAGCCAACCAAGATACGCTGTCTGTCGCTTGAGTCTCCACACTCACAAGTCTAGTCGGAGAACCAACCGACACACTAGGCTTGTGCTCGTCGTGTATGCATTCTGAGGAGTAGTCGCTCCAACCGTCAACAACCATGCAATTCGACTCGTCGTCCTCTGCATCTTTACCAACGCCCACGCTCACAGTCTCTCTCGTATCACTAGTGAACCCTGATGACAAAGCTATATCACGTTCAATCATACGATCTAGCACGTCAGTTCCCATGTCACTTCTGCACACTGTTTTTGCCAACCTGGCGTCCACATCGTCTGTCATATCCAACCTACTACGCAGTTCCAACAACTCTTTCATGACTGTGTCGCGTTCTCTCACAGTTTCGTTTACGCGCGACTCCCAGTCTCGACTGGCTATCGCCAACACTGTGTTGCAATGCTCTTCCATCGATGTCTCAAGCCGACACACTTGATCCCGTAGTGCAGAACACTCGTCACGAGAAGCAGACAGTTGACTCTCCAGATCTGACATTGCGCAAACCTTCTCGTGTCTATAGGCCTCCAGTTCCTCTCGGGCAGTTGACGCCTGTTCGACTGCCTGACGAAGAGCTGTTTGCATCAACACCATCTCAGATGCCTGCTTATCACACAGGTCTCGACACTTGCAGAGCTCCTCAGACAGCTCACGGTTCCGGTCGCACAGTCTGCTCATCTCACTTACCGAATCCCAATCTTGTCCTCTCTGCATCGACGTCACTTCATGAGACTCTTGCAGTCGCACAAAGCTATCAAGCATAACAGTAGACTCCAAGTGTTCTGGCCATGTCATTGTCTCACACTCACAGTCCACGTGTTCAACCACACCATGGGACAACCCTGTTGTGACGGCATCTAAACACTCCTGCACTCGTTGTTCGTGCTCTCTGCACCAATCTCCATAGTCGGAACGCAGACCTCTTATATGGTCAACCACAAACGCCAACAGTGCTTTCGTCTTGGTCACATCATTCTCCAAGTCAGTAATCACAGTCATATAACTCTCTAGACGACGCTTCAGCGACTCACACTCACAGATCAGGGCATTGTTCATTGACTCACATTCTCTCAGTTTCTCAGTGACTGCCTCCAGCTCGAATGATTGTGTATCCAGTGCACGCTGCAAATCCTCTCGCAACCCGTCTGATGTGCAACGGTCAGTCGACGAGCCTTCGTGTGCATAGTCGATGTCTTGCACTGGTGACGTGGATCGACCAACTGTTTCGCACAGGCGATGTGAAACCCGTTCGTACTCACTCATTCTGTTCGCCATTTCGGCGCGGTCAGCATTCGCCTCAGCATGTGCTGCACGCAATTCTCTCACCTGCTTCAACAAGAAACCCAGTGATCCTCTGACCTCATCCATCTCCATGCACACATCGTCCAACAGTGTCACGCGCTCTGAAATCTTACTTCGTAACAAGTCTACCTCTGTCATCAGCTCTTTGTTGTGCTTCGACAGTGCATCAGCTTCGTCCGTCACTTTCATCGACCGGTCAGGCACACGAGAACTAAGAGGCATCACATCCATCGGCTTATCTTCACACATCATAACGCCTTCCAGCTCAAGCAGACGCACACTCAACTCTGTCTTGGCATTCTCAAGTTCGCAGATTCTGCTCATGGCCTCCTTCAATCGCGCTCTTAGGCTGTCTGTATTCAACAGGGCAAGTTCGAGATCGTCATTGTCTTGTTCACTCGGCGGTTTCGTCCAACTCTGAGTGGCGTGAATGGGCAAGACCACTTCCTCGTTCGAAACGCCCTCAACACACAAGTCCGTAGTTTGTCTGTCCATTCGATCAGGCACAATGCCTGACACTGAGTCGCCTGCAACAGTCTCCACCAGCTGCATGTCAGGAACTCCGGCAAACACGTCTGCCTCCACTCTGTCTGTGTCATCAACCTCTGCCAACTCACGGACAACCACATCGGGCGCCTTTCTCACAGTCTCACAAGGAATCCACCAAGTTGTCTCGTTCACCATCATACGTGACTCCGGTTCCTGCACTTCCGTCTGTTTCATGCTCAACTCGAGCTGTGAACGCTCCAGAGCCGCCAACGTCGCCGCATTTTCCTCACGCAGATGGGCAACCTCGAGCTGCAACGTCGACACCAGGTCAAAAACTTCGTCGTCAATCTCCGTCTGCACACACTCCTCCTCCACAGCAGCAGCAGCAGCAGCAGCAGCAACGTTCGGTCCACGACACTCCTCGCACATCGCCGACACCTCTTCTTTGCTCTCCAACACATCCATATTTGCACGCATTATGTCCAAATCACGTCGTTCTGCCTCTACAGTCTCCCTCAACTCATTCACTTCGTCTCGTAAATGACGCTTCTCCTCTCTCAGATCCGCCACTTCACTCTCCTTCACAGTCAACAAACGCCGGACATCCATCAACGAAGCATCACTCTCCTCCACCGATCTAGACAGCTTCACTATCTGTTCATAACAAGACGTCAACTCTTCGCGCAGTTGACCAACCACATTCGACTCATCTTCACACAAACCTGAACTCACTACCTTCTCTCTCGTCATCTCCAATGGACTCCTGGTCGACTGATCTACGGTCGACTGATCGGTAAATCCTGAAGTTGACAATGTGTCAGTAGCCAACCAAGATACGCTGTCTGTCGCTTGAGTCTCCACACTCACAAGTCTAGTCGGAGAACCAACCGACACACTAGGCTTGTGCTCGTCGTGTATGCATTCTGAGGAGTAGTCGCTCCAACCGTCAACAACCATGCAATTCGACTCGTCGTCCTCTGCATCTTTACCAACGCCCACGCTCACAGTCTCTCTCGTATCACTAGTGAACCCTGATGACAAAGCTATATCACGTTCAATCATACGATCTAGCACGTCAGTTCCCATGTCACTTCTGCACACTGTTTTTGCCAACCTGGCGTCCACATCGTCTGTCATATCCAACCTACTACGCAGTTCCAACAACTCTTTCATGGCTGTGTCGCGTTCTCTCACAATTTCGTTTACGCGCGACTCCCAGTCTCGACTGGCTATCGCCAACACTGTGTTACAATGCTCTTCCATCGATGTCTCAAGCCGACACACTTGATCCCGTAGTGCAGAACACTCGTCACGAGAAGCAGACAGTTGACTCTCCAGATCTGACATTGCGCAAACCTTCTCGTGTCTATAGGCCTCCAGTTCCTCTCGGGCAGTTGACGCCTGTTCGACTGCCTGACGAAAAGCTGTTTGCATCAACACCATCTCAGATGCCTGCTTATCACACAGGTCTCGACACTTGCAGAGCTCCTCAGACAGCTCACGGTTCCGGTCGCACAGTCTGCTCATCTCACTTACCGAATCCCAATCTTGTCCTCTCTGCATCGACGTCACTTCATGAGACTCTTGCAGTCGCACAAAGCTATCAAGCATAACAGTAGACTCCAAGTGTTCTGGCCATGTCATTGTCTCACACTCACGGTCCACGTGTTCAACCACACCATGGGACAACCCTGTTGTGACGGCATCTAAACACTCCTGCACTCGTTGTTCGTGCTCTCTGCACCAATCTCCATAGTCGGAACGCAGACCTCTTATATGGTCAACCACAAACGCCAACAGTGCTTTCGTCTTGGTCACATCATTCTCCAAGTCAGTAATCACAGTCATATAACTCTCTAGACGACGCTTCAGCGACTCACACTCACAGATCAGGGCATTGTTCATTGACTCACATTCTCTCAGTTTCTCAGTGACTGCCTCCAGCTCGAATGATTGTGTATCCAGTGCACGCTGCAAATCCTCTCGCAACCCGTCTGATGTGCAACGGTCAGTCGACGAGCCTTCGTGTGCATAGTCGATGTCTTGCACTGGTGACGTGGATCGACCAACTGTTTCGCACAGGCGATGTGAAACCCGTTCGTACTCACTCATTCTGTTCGCCATTTCGGCGCGGTCAGCATTCGCCTCAGCATGTGCTGCACGCAATTCTCTCACCTGTTTCTGCAAGAGACCTACTGATCCTTTAGCGTCATCAGTTTGTGTGTTCGTGCCTTTTGAAATGAATCTCAATTCTGTATTTGCACATTTTGTTGATTGTTTCATATTATTTTGATTAGCGTTATCCCGTTTTGACGCGTCGGTCGGTTCATAATTTTGTTGTGAATATTCGTTTTTTAGTTTTTGATCGTACTCTTTGATATTATCGTTTTGGTTTCTTATAATTGTGATTTCGTTTTCTTTCTTGCTTTTCAGGTTGTCACCTTCGAATTTTTCCAGTTTATTTCTCGTTTGTTCGTTAGTTGTTATATTTGTTTCTTCTGAGTACCTTGTAACATAATATGCTTTTGTGTTTGAAGACCATTTCATATGCTTGACTGTGTTGTTCACGCAGTTTTTCACATGCGCTTCTGATTTTTTACTATATGGCTCAACGGTTTCTAGTTCTTTACTTGATGAACTGCGCGACATTACGGGAATATCTGATGCTGACTCAGCGTATGTCATACTGCAGGGTTGTCTAGGTGGTGGTAGTATCAAAGAACTGATGAACATTTTTTCGTCTTCAAAATCCGGAGGCATTCTCGAAATGTGTGAAGTTTTATCTTGTGAGAAGTCATCATACGAAACGACGGTAACTTCTTCACAGTGACAAGCATTTGATTCACTAGCATCATTCCGGTTTTGATGAAGTGAGTTATCTATTTTTGAAGATGAATTTGTGGCAAATGTAAACTTAGATTCATTTGCAGTAGAATCAACCATCACAGGGTCGACATCGGATGGACTTAACATCTTGAAACACGCAGCATCTAGAACTATCGACGATATGTATGACTTATTTCCATGGACGACGTTATCACTGAGTTTATTGCCTACCTCACTGTCACTGGTTCCAAGAAATTGGTCTGAATTAAGAAGATCACTTTCGCAAGTCGCTTGAATTTCAGAGAACAGCTTATCAATTGAATGATTACGATCACTTTCTCTGAAATTAGAAAGATTATCAGGATTTTCAACCAACATACCATTGACTTCGAAACGAGAATTGAAATGTCTAACAGGTGGGGGCAAATTAAAACTCAAACGTTTCTTTCGGGTATCACACTCACAGATCAAGGCATTGTTCATTGACTCACATTCTCTCAGTTTCTCAGTGACTGCCTCCAGCTCGAATGATTGTGTATCCAGTGCACGCTGCAAATCCTCTCGCAACCCGTCTGATGTGCAACGGTCAGTCGACGAGCCTTCGTGTGCATAGTCGATGTCTTGCACTGGTGACGTGGATCGACCAACTGTTTCGCACAGGCGATGTGAAACCCGTTCGTACTCACTCATTCTGTTCGCCATTTCGGCGCGGTCAGCATTCGCCTCAGCATGTGCTGCACGCAATTCTCTCACCTGCTTCAACAAGAAACCCAGTGATCCTCTGACCTCATCCATCTCCATACACACATCGTCCAACAGTGTCACGCGCTCTGAAATCTTACTTCGTAACAAGTCTACCTCTGTCATCAGCTCTTTGTTGTGCTTCGACAGTGCATCAGCTTCGTCCGTCACTTTCATCGACCGGTCAGGCACACGAGAACTAAGAGGCATCACATCCATCGGCTTATCTTCACACATCATAACGCCTTCCAGCTCAAGCAGACGCACACTCAACTCTGTCTTGGCATTCTCAAGTTCGCAGATTCTGCTCATGGCCTCCTTCAATCGCGCTCTTAGGCTGTCTGTATTCAACAGGGCAAGTTCGGGATCGTCATTGTCTTGTTCACTCGGCGGTTTCGTCCAACTCTGAGTGGCGTGAATGGGCAAGACCACTTCCTCGTTCGAAACGCCCTCAACACACAAGTCCGTAGTTTGTCTGTCCATTCGATCAGGCACAATGCCTGACACTGAGTCGCCTGCAACAGTCTCCACCAGCTGCATGTCAGGAACTCCGGCAAACACGTCTGCCTCCACTCTGTCTGTGTCATCAACCTCTGCCAACTCACGGACAACCACATCGGGCGCCTTTCTCACAGTCTCACAAGGAATCCACCAAGTTGTCTCGTTCACCATCATACGTGACTCCGGTTCCTGCACTTCCGTCTGTTTCATGCTCAACTCGAGCTGTGAACGCTCCAGAGCCGCCAACGTCGCCGCATTTTCCTCACGCAGATGGGCAACCTCGAGCTGCAACGTCGACACCAGGTCAAAAACTTCGTCGTCAATCTCCGTCTGCACACACTCCTCCTCCACAGCAGCAGCAGCAGCAGCAGCAGCAACGTTCGGTCCACGACACTCCTCGCACATCGCCGACACCTCTTCTTTGCTCTCCAACACATCCATATTTGCACGCATTATGTCCAAATCACGTCGTTCTGCCTCTACAGTCTCCCTCAACTCATTCACTTCGTCTCGTAAATGACGCTTCTCCTCTCTCAGATCCGCCACTTCACTCTCCTTCACAGTCAACAAACGCCGGACATCCATCAACGAAGCATCACTCTCCTCCACCGATCTAGACAGCTTCACTATCTGTTCATAACAAGACGTCAACTCTTCGCGCAGTTGACCAACCACATTCGACTCATCTTCACACAAACCTGAACTCACTAGCTTCTCTTTCGTCATCTCCACGGTATATTCTGAAGTTGTCAGTGTGTCGTTAGCTAATGTGGATTTTGTTTCTTCAATTTTGTCTATTGTTCGATATTCTTTGTCTTCTTTGGACATTATAGTTGGTTGTTCAATCTCTGTCTGATTAGTTAATTTTAGTTCATTTATTATGTTTTTATTTGTATTTGTAGATGAATCAATAAGTGAATTAGGATATTGATTATGGTGATATTTATAATATTCACTTTTTACCTTTTCATCATTTCTCTCGTAGCAATTATTTTCATACGTCTTCTCGTTATTATGTGGGACAATATTATGTCCTCTTGAAATAGCTTTTAATTTATAGTCATAATCTCTTAATTCCTTGTTCAAATCTTCTATTTGTGATGCTTGCATAGCTATAAGTTTGCAGTGTTTTGTTTTTTCACTCAAGAGTTTATCTACTAAATGCTGACACAAAGATAACTCTTCATATATAACATGTAACGCAGACTGAAGCTTTTCTGTCAAGTTCAATTCTGTGATTTCAGGTTTGTCATCTAATAATCTATCAATTTCTTGATTGAATGAATAATTATCCTGTTCAATTTGTTCAACAAAAGTATTTTGCTTTCTAATGATTTGTTGTTGTAGAATTTCCTGTAATTCAGTTAGGTGAATAAGAGATTGTTCAGCTGAATAAAGTGGATATTTTTGATCATATTCCTCTGTATTTACTAGTAAACGTTTTGCATTATGAATCGGAAAACTCTTATCATCAGTAAGGTAGTGATCAGGTGATTCATATTCAATTTGATTCTCTTGATCAAGTATATATTGATTTAAATTTGATATAATTGTACTGACTTGATTTAAAAATGCTTTAGTCAAAGACTGTACATCGGATAATCCTCCATTATCTAGAATATATTGTAAACTAGTAAAATGATTATTAGATATAGCCAATTTAATATGATTTTCAATATCTAATAAATTACTATGCAACATTTCTACTTCTCTTTCAGATTTCTGTAATTTTGATTGTAAAATTTCATAATCTTGTTTTAATTGAAGTAATTCAAATGAACAGTTATTTGTTAATAATTCAGTATTTAACATAGATTGATTAGAAATTATAGTTTCATTTGATATCATTTTAGTTGTTGGCCATGAACTATGACAGTATTCAATTTCATATACATTTCTATAATCTAATGGTATTTGTCTATATGATGGATCAGTCAATAGTCTAGGCAAATGATTAAAAGAATCAGTTTGTATAGATGAATCACAGATATTTTTATACTTATGGGAAATGTAAACAGATATATTGGATTTATATTCATCAAATGATGAATTAACATATTTTAATTGTTTACATAATGTTTGATTAAAAGTTTGATATTGACTAACTAAATGATTATAAGAATCTTTTAAGTAATTAAACTTCCTTTGTAACTCACGTAAAGTTTCTTTTTCCAATGATGATGTTTGAATAAGATCATCTGTTGATATTATCTGATAAAAGAGAAGGAGGAAAAAAAACAATTCATGACAAGAGTATCCATAACTAGTTGTATATAAACTTAAGAAAGTCATTCATTTTATAACAAGGAACAATTTCATACATCTAGTTACTATGATCATTTCGAATCAATCAATAATTGGGTAAGTTGATGAATTATTTTTATAGTTACATATTTGATATACTTTCTTTGATGTAGTTTCCCCCAAATGCCCTGGTACGGCCGAGAGTGGGGAGAGCCAGCTCTACCTCTCCAAATGCTCTCACATGGACACGTGCATACAACCATTGACAGGGAAGTCCTACTCACTGACTTCCTGTGGCAGGAGTGTTGTTTACGAAATTGAGAAAACGAAAAGCGAATATCCGGAGCTTTAACCGGGTTGACGGATACGGAGGATGCACTTAGAGGAGTTGGAAAATCCTGATTCCAAACCAGTGGTGTACACGGGCTTCAGGATCGTGAGGGAACAAATGGCGTATGAACCAATTGTTGGTGACTGGCTACCATGGGACTGCATCTCATTACGATGTTCTATTGCCTTGTGGATCAGACATTTAGGCCGAAGGCTCCGGGTGTGCCTCCCTAGGAAAACCACCTGTTTCAGTTTGGACACCCGGGCAGCATTGTAGCCCTCGCACGAACCAAATGAAATTTTTGTGGAGCATATGTATTTGGTGCCACCTTTGATGTAGTTGAGATGGATGTCTGAACTCGGACAAAAAATTATGAGAAAATGGAAGAAGACAAAATATAACATTAAACATATTAGTTAAAATCAAACGATAATAACATGTTAAAATTTTAACAATATAACGTAAGGCTTGAGATATAAACAGAATAACATTAGTCGATCTTATTTTGTTAAGGTTTCGTCAGCTACTCATAATTTATAACAATTTGGTGGGGTTTTGTTATCTCAGCTGGATAGTTCAATGGTGAGAATTTCATTGTTCTTTTAAACAAAATCATCAGTACAAACATCGCCAAAATCACAACTCTCTATCTGAGCTACAAATCTTCTCCACCACCTTATTAGCATTTTATTGTTAAAAAATAATGTACGAGATTGTAGTTGGTTAGATGTGAATACGTATCATCATGACTGGAAAAAGATTCAAATAAATTTAAGACTGAAATAAAATGTTGTGAATAAATCCAGTGTGCAAGAGAAAATTCTAGAACACCAAACATAGTCATTGAAGTTCAAGGAGCTAGAAATTAACCGATTATCCAATGAAATAGCGGATCATGTATTAAAGGTAAGTAAAAATAATTTGAGTTGAAATCAGTTCCCAAGAGGTATTTCCTGGAGTTCTAGTGAGAAGCCGTGACCGACAGAGTTCAAATGGGTCTGTTGTGAAATAGTAACTCACTGAAGACAATGATGAACGGTGGCCCCATTTCGTAGATTGGTTGTAGACATTAGCATTGTTGGATGCCGGCCGCCTCAGTGGTCTAGAGGTTAAGTGTTCGCGTGCGAAACCGATAGGTCCTGGGTTCGAATCTCGAAAGACAAGATCGTGGATGCGAACTGCTGAGTGCTATACTAGGATGAAACGGCCGTCCAGTGCTTCCAGGTTTGCTATGTTGCTCTACTTTCAAGTGACTCATGAACTCAACTTTTAAATTACTATAACATCTCACGGAGAGTTGTGTTCCCAAGGTTTAACACAAATGTTCCAAAATGTGTGAAGTTGCTGAGTTTGTTAAAGTGTTTAAAACCAGACACTTTTAAAACTTTTTCTGAAAGAACTGCGCTGGTTTTCTAAGTTGTCCATCATTTATGTCATTATTTAAACACATAAACATTGTTACAAGGAGGCACCAAATAGATATGCGCCACATAAATCATTCGATTTATGTGAGGGCTGAGATACTGTCCAGGTGCCCAGACCGAAACAGCCTTTGACCTAAATGTCTAATCTACAAGACAGTGGAGCAACATAAGGAGATGCAGCCCCATGGTAGCCAGTCACCAACAATTGGTTCATACGCCATTTGTTCCCTCACGATCCTGAAGCCCGTGTACACCACTGGTTTGGAATCAGGATTTTCCAACTCCTCTAAGTGCATCCTCCGTATCCATCAACCCGGTTAAAGCTCCGGATATTCGCTTTTCGTTTTCTCAATTTCGTAAACAACACTCCTGCCACAGGAAGTCAGTGAGTAGGACTTCCCTGTCAATGGTTGTATGCACGTGTCCATGTGAGAGCATTTGGAGAGGTAGAGCTGGCTCTCCCCACTCTCGGCCGTACCAGGGCATTTGGGGCAATACAAGAAACGTTTTTAAAATAATTCGTGTTAGAAATTATTGAAACTGAATTACTCCATTGTTACGATTAGGAACGTGGAATCATGCAGTTAACCGTTCTTTGACTAGTTATTAATCTATGTTATGTTCGATTAGTGGAATTATTGATTAATTTTATAGCATAATTAGACTTGAATATACGCTTAATAATCACATAAGAAAACAGAAAGTATAAAATGTTAACCATAAAGAACAAAACAAACAAACATAAGGAGAAGTACTAATGGATTTATTTATTGTATCGGATAAATATATACAGTAATTCAGTTAAACTGAAATGTTTGTTTACGTTGAATCATGATTTAATATTACTAAACAATTCTATGGTTAAGACAATCAAAATTGTATTTTACAATAGCCCTTTCTAGTGGATTGATATCATTTGGAAAACAACAAAACTTTGAATTGCTGACATGTTTCTACATATAGAGCTCTCGTTCAGTAGATGTTCATGATGTAAAAAGCTAGTTCTTATTGACAGGAAATTATGCTAATTGTTTATGTTGAAACTAGAGATAATAAGTATTGTTTGAATTAAAGTTAGGTGGAGACTAACAATGAGATCCACAACACTCATTTCGTCGTATTTGAGACTAGTCAGCTGGATGTACTTGCTCCCTAGTCTAAATACTTACATTAAGACTCGAACTCAGTACATTTTGTTTCAAATCCCAAGGCATTTTATCCACTGGAATAAAATTGCATTCATCTGATGAGACCGGAATGCGAAGAGACGAGCATCCTGGATTTCAGTGTCAGCCACTACCCAACATCAATGAAAGCTTGAACCTAACTGGTATCAAGACCATCCGCACACGATGTACACATCCCTAAAGAGGCTAACTAGTCTCAGTGCTTAACAACCACAAAATAACAGCAGTGATTAAGTAGCGGCTAAACAAGTGATACACTAAAACCTAAAGGTTGATTAAAGTAAAAGAATATGGTTATTCATTTAGAATGGAACTCCCCAATTGACTCTAGACCTACACTTAGTGATAGCTAGCTTCCTAGACTCCTCCGATGACTCAATTATAACCAGATAGTTGTGTCAATATTTTTAGCTGCGACTAGGTACTCTGTATCTTGAATTACAAGTATGCACAGTTGGAATGTAAAACTCAGATTTCATCCTGATTGAAAACATCGAAAAACAGTAAACAAACAGTTAATGTATTCTAAATTTGAAACCCTTATATATGCATCTTGTGAGGATCATCTCGATATAGCCATTATGGCACAAATTAATTTAGTAGTTTATGTATAACAGTGAAATCCAAGACGTACGTTTTGTCCTATTTGGTACTCATCAGCTAGATGCGTCTGTATCTAAGAGATAGTGTTCACTCTACTCAATAAAACAAAAAATTTACATTTTCTTAACGATTTCTTTTGAAGTTTTATTAACATAGGTCTGTGTACTAAACATAGTTTATCCTTTATAAATAACGATAATATAATAAAGGTAAAGAAACAAACTTACCTGATCATTCATTTGCTTAACCTGTTGCATATTCAACTGATAATTTTGATCTTGATTAATAAACAATGTTAACAGATCACTTGTAGATGTACACATATCTGTTAAGTAAATTGATTTTGTTGCATACTTTGTACAAGAAGATAACTCTTCCATTTTGAATGATTCCAAATTGACCTCTTCAATATCTTTTATTTTATGTTGATTAGAAGTTAAAGCAGTAATAGTCGACTGATCTGTAAGGCTAGTTATTGATGAAACTTCAACAGGTATAGACTTATCAGTTGCGGTTGTTCTATTAATTTCATTAGCAACTAATTCTGGTGCAAAATATGTTTCTGTTGTTGTTGTTGACAGTGAAGATTGTGACTCAACTAAACTAGATGATTTAAATGATGAAAGTTTATTATTTTGTATATACCATTGAAATTGTTCAATAATATTATACGCTTCATATAATGTATCATAATCCTCTTTATTACTAATCCATAATTTAGATTGATGTAAATCTGTATTAGTTAACTTTGATTCTTTCGATAACATTCCCCATAAACGTTGAAGTAAATTATTAATCGAATTATCAACCGGTATTGTTGTTGTTGTTGTTGTGGTGGTGGTGGTGGTGGTTGAAATATCGATTGGCATTATTGTCGATTTTAATGGGAATATAATTTGATCTCCTATTGATTTTATTTTTGGTATAGATTCATAAGTTTGAGAACTTGATCCTGGATCTAATAATAATGATGATGATGATAATGGTGATGATAATATACATTGAGTTTGATCTGTATCAGACAAATAAGTAATTATATTATTATTATTATTATTAGATGAAAAATTTGTTGATGATAAAAAATAATCACTAATCAATAAATGATGATTTGTTTCTTCTAATTGATTTTTTTGTAATTTTTCATTTAATTGATTTAATTGATATTGATATTGTTTGATTTCATTTGATAAATCAATAATTTGTTGTTCAGCATGATCTGCTTTCATTTGTAAATCTTTAATATTTGGATCAATAAATTGATTATTTAATTGATAAGAATTCATTGAAATAATATAAAAATTAAGTAATGCATTAAAAAATTGTTGACATACAATGGGATAATTCATTTGATGATTTTTTATTTCCCAATAATTTAATAAATTCTGTGTAGCTAAATGAAGATCTTGTAATTCAGATATGAATGATTGTTTTATTCTTTGAACTGGATTCATAGTAACTATGACATCATTATCATTATTATTATTATTTATACCGGGATTTATGATTTTATTATTGATTTCTTTAGCAAAATGATGTAAAATAGAATCTGTGATATTAATATGAATATCTTGAGATATGGATTGAGTAATATGTGTTATGTAATCAGTATGAATAGAATTAGTATTATTAGTAGTATTATGAGTAGTATGTTGTTGATTTAAATTAGTATTTGTTTCAGTTAAACGTGATCTTAATGAATGTAAATATTTAGTTAAATTAGCTTCTTGTAATTCATATTCAGCAAATATTCTATCATTATCTTGATATAATTTAAATAATTGGTCTGATAAATATTTGATCAATGTATCACGATGTGATAATTCAGCTTCTAAACAAGCAATCTAAATAAAGAGATTTGAATAGATAGAATGATATAAATCCAGAAGAAAAAAGATAGATGGACTATTTATTAGCTGTAAAAAAAACATTTGACTATACTCAGTTGTTAGGTCCCGATAAACATAATGAATGGTAACTTTTGGGATTCTTTTATAGACTAATACTAGACGTATATTTTTATCGTATGATTGTTATGTAACTAAACTATTCATATTCATATTCCTCTTATGATGAGCTTTATCTTGACCTATGAACCATTATTATACGATTTACCATTCTTGAGTTATACCCAGTATATTAATTACTACCTCCGACATTTACAGCCACATCTGGCAAATTCTTGTACAAATGTTGTTTCATATTTTATTGGTACGTTGTGGTTTGTTTGATTAGTATATAAACTCAGTATGTTTGAAATATAATGATTCATATCGTAGAGGCTCGGTTTGGTGTTCTGGACTCAACTGGCTGGGCTAGGCGGAAAGTAGGACTAATCAAGAATCTACGCTGCTCATACGGGTTTACGCGTCATTGATCCGATCGTTAATTTACTGCTTTCTTATCGACGGTCACAAGATATAATATCAGTGTACAACTCGAGGAAATAATGTATAGTGATTTAAGCTGAAAAGTAATTTAACAAAATGATGAAGGAATAAATGAAGTATAAAGCTAACCATAAGAAAAGTCGTTTAAAAGAAATAAATGAGATCAAAAAAAAGAAAATCGAAATTATGAAATGATATTAAACCAAAGATTTCAAGGAACATAACTATGCTACTTTGATCGATTTGGTTCACACTGATAAAGAGTGACCCCAAAGACTGATTTCATGTCATGGTCAGAGTATTCTTAGCCTTATTCAAATTATCTATCACGTTAGGTAGGATTGAGCAACAGATTAGCTGGTGGTTAAGTATACGTAACACAAATTACAAATATCTCTGTCGATAAAGATTGATGATATATTTAATCAGTTTTGCATTTTTACTCATTCCGTGATGGTATCACATGTGATGAATGCTTTGGAGATACTGGATACATCTGGAAATTAGTTTCAATATTACAAATATACTAACTGAATATTTCCCTCTAAATCTTCAGGATAATTTTATCTTATAATTTGAACCTAATTATTTCACTCACTGTTTTTCAACTATATTTTAACCATTTAGCTTTCCATTAACACCGATACTTATTTGCTTTATGCTTTGTTAACTTCCGCTATTGATTGAGAGCAGTGACAACTTAAATAAACATGCATGTCCGCCAAATATTTCATAACTCCTGAATTAGTAATCATCAGTCATGGAAGGAATAGTGGTTATGTCAAGACATAAACGGTGTAATGTCACAATAGAAAAGGTTGATCAGATGACGATTACGTTTCAGTATGAATGACTGCTTTATTAATTTAAGTTTTTACACTATTGAGAAAAAAGATATCAAGAAGACTGCAAAATTGAAATGAATTTCAAATGAGAAAATCAGAGAGATCCAAATATACAAGAACTAATTAGTGTTTGAATAATAATAATAATAATAATAACAGCTGAGACAATAGATACAAACCATGAGGTCAATTGTGGTAAGTGTCTACTAACTCGGAACAGATTAGATATGGCTTTGAAATAACGTACAACAAGATTATTGTCCGATGTAACAGTCACATAAGCAGAATAAAAGTAAACATTTATATAGGTATCAGTATCAAGGTTGGGACTTGATAGTTTCAAATAAATTGAGTATTGAGTAGAAAATTAATAATAAATATATTTTTTGTTATATCTGCGAATTGCAGAGGTTCCTTCTTTCCAGTATAAATGATAAGCTTTTTCAATATAACAATCAGCAACCACCAAAAATAACAAGTACCGTTCATTACACAAGACATATCATTGGCAACGGGGATTTCGGAAAAAATCCAAAAGACAAATCAATATCCTAATGAGTAGAAAAGTTATATTTCTAATGTTTCGTTACAATCTAAGCTGCTTTTTCAGAGCAAAAAAATAACCAGACTAAATTGACACAAGCTTAAATATTACAATGAATTTATAGTGAATATTCACATGGAAACATGTGATTTTGATTCATCATAACATATCATTGCTTTATTTATGAAAAGGAAACGGAGTTCATTATTTTGAGAATCTTTACAGCTAGCAACTAAATCTGATAACAAACCTAGCAACATTTTAATTTGAAAATTGAATCTAATCCAAAATACTAATTGTACACTTTAAAGATAACCAGTTAGTGATTAGAAAACTTATGAATGATGACATAAACCCGGTGATTCAACTAGACAAAGGTTCTGGTATAATCCTTAAGAATATATGCATAAAGTAAATTTGATTTCAGATAATTTTCAGAAATTTATTATTGGTAGATCTCACAAGGATATAACCAAGTTGATATAAAGACAAGTTATAAAGATGTTAAACGAAATTAATGTTCTGATTAGATCGATATTATTAATGGTTGGCTAACTAGATGGTTAATAAAATATTTGAAACCCATTATTCATGGGAAACTAGGAATCTACAGCCTACAGGATTATCATGAATTTACAATAAAGCTAGAAAGTTCGGATATTTTCGATATATTTACAGTATTATTTGATATGTCTTGACATTTTACAAAGATTTCCTCCCACAAAGAGGGAACTTTTGATACTATAGATTAACATTATAATCTATCATTAAAAACTATGGGATTTAAATAGGTTCTGCTTAAATGTATTAAAGATGTAAAAATTCTGTTCCATAAAATTATGTGTCATTATACTTATGAGATCGTTATCAGTAGCCTGTTTAGCTAGATTTCAGCTGACATCTTTATGGAATACCTGCAACATAAAGCACATAATCGATGAGACAATATTTCTAATGTAGGCAGGTTGATAAAAAAAATACTTATACGCGTTACACCTAAAGTTACATTATGAGACATTTTATATGGGATAATCAGAGCACACGAAATAAAATTAATTTAATTCTTCCCACGAAAGTTGGTATTCTTTGTTAGCTAATCACATTATGTCATCAAAATTACTATGGAAAATTAATCTCGGAATTAAACGGACTCCAGATGGAAAATCACAATGATAACTTCATCACAAAACATTGGAAGTCGGTTTTATCTGAACTATCACAGCTAAGAATGCTTGTTTCCTATTGCCTGAATTTAAAAGTGATGATATCACTGACAAAAACCCTTAAACTAAACATTCATCCATTCAAGAAGTACGTATAAATATATCAGTCAGTCAGTTACAAAGTAGGATCAGGGACATATATGCATCGGTCCAAGTTGCCACACATCATTAATACAAGAGATGAACACCAAATTCATAGAAGCAGATACTTCAATGCCAATAAAAAATTGCATACAATGGTATGAGACAAAGAGAAGGAATTAGTTCGTAGAAAGAATGGTACAAAGTAGTTTTAATCTCATAGTTTAAGGGGAAGATAGAGAGTGTATACACCTACGCCACTGTGATCGATTCTGAGTGATATCACACAGAATATACAACGATTCGTTCCGATAGTCATGCGGACCCAAACTAGGTAGTCTACATCTACCAACACGGCTCAGACCAGAGGTCAGTGACTTCAAGGACTGATGCCACGATTTGTTTGGCCCCTAACTTTCTTCCATTTGTCTCCGACACTAATCAGCATGGCGTTTCGTGGTAATTGGTGGTTGGGCATGCGTAACACATAGCCCAACCATCTCAGTCGATGAAGATTTACATCATCAACTGAGTTGCCATCATTCCCTAATACCCTGCGTCCAACCGCACTAAGACACCTGTCATCAATTACTAGTGACTTATGAGTACCTTCTACTATTAATGATTACCGTTCGCAGCCTTAAAGTAAAACAGAACAAACTGCAGCGCAGTATACTTGTTCCTTAGTTGATAGACGGATATCTCACCTTCGCCATGGGTGACGTTAGTTGGCAAAAGCCCAACGAGCTTTTTGAATCCATGCTGAGATTTCGGCAGACACCGGCCCATTAGGGCTGATCAGACTTCCAGGAAAAGTGAAGTTGTCGACGCGTTCGACTACTTCACTGCCTATCCTTAGTTCAGGTGTTGAGGCAGACCAATGCTGAAACAACAACTTGCATTCAAATGGGAGAAACGCATCCCAAATATCTTGGTATTGATGCCTAGTGCTGCCAAAAAACTGCATTTTATCAACGTCTTCACTACTCAGGACTATGTCATATGCTTATTCTAAGCCAACAAGTGGTTCTCCTGATCGATCACGGAAAATTCAGACGAGAACGTTGTTTCCATCAGTAGGTCGTCTATGATGGAAGTGAACAAAAGTGGAGATAGTGAACAGTTTTGCCGGACACCACTTGAGGTCGCAAAATCAAATGAAAGTATGCCATAAGCTCTGACTAAACTGGCAGTGTTCGAGTAAAGAGCCCTTACAAGGCTTATGTACTTCTCAGGTACGCTCCCACAATAAATTGATATTTTTGATTGCTTCTCCAATAAGTAACATCAAGTTGTGCAACCTTCACTTGGTTATTTCATTGGCTATAACAAAACGCTTTTCCACTAAATATGTGATGAATGCTTGACCAATTTTTTTAGATGTATCTAGATTCTTACATTTTTGTTACACGACTAAACAGAGTTTTAAATTCTAGGTAATCACTTTCATATTTCATGATATTTTCTAAATCTACATTTAATGACCTTAAGTATGGATTTTTATAACACCGATAATCTTTGTCACCTCATTTACTCAGTCGACGAATGTTCATTATCAAGTGTTATGTTATATTTCAGCACGAATGGTATTGTAAGACACCGATGAGAATATAAGGAAGATAGATTCAGATTACTTTTCTTCAACTGTAACAGTTTGTTCGTGCTAATAAAGAGAAATAATTATGTGAAACACGTAGAAAGGTTTGAAAATATCCCTGTTAAACTTCACTTATTAAAACCAACTAAAACTGAGACATAATTAATGTACAAATGACCTGAACGAATAAAGCTAGGCTGCATAAAACCATAAGAGTTTTGACTAAACTACTCTAAGGTAAGTGAAGGATGATAGATTTCTTCGATGAGGTTGGAACCGTTTCCAGTAGTGCTGAAGACAGTTAATGGGTCTACACTGGCTCTTTTTGGTGTAGAACCGCAAGAACAAATAATTAAATGAAAGCCGGCAAAGGTTAACCGTACCGATGAACATGTGTTACTCATCAAGTCCTCTTGATAAATGTTAAACTTCACTCATCCATTCAGAAAAAAACCAAAAAACATCATTGAGTGGTTTATAACACTAAATGAGAATTTACAACGAATGTATTTTCATGGTATCGATAACAAACATTTTTCTGTTGCTTAGAAGTTCTTCATTCATCAATTTCATGTTGTTCGTACGCTGGAACTGGTTGTAAAATGTTATAATGATCAGTTTATGACAAGATAATGTGGTATAAAAGAAAGCTAAGTGGAACTGGGATCCATCAGTCTATTATGACTCCTTGGTTTGGGTATGAGAGATTGTTTTTGAGACGTAGTTAAACGTAGCTTCAAATAGAAACCCAAGGCGATGCTGTTGTAATTTTCTTCTTCTTTCTTTGAAAATATGATAGAAAATTCTTCTGGATGGAAGAATTTTGAATTTTTTCGTTTGTATTGTTAACTGGACCGTCTCTACTATCATACGGTTTTCCTATTAATTATTCTTTTGTTAACTCTCTTCAAATGTGCTCTATTTCGCTCACAATGTCATCTATATTTTGTGTGGCGTACTCTATTCTGCCGTGTTACGCCAAATTTTGTCCATGAATAAATGAATAATAGTTGCAAATAATTTGGAGCATATTGCATCTCCTAGGGGAATGAGAACTTGCTAGGAGATTTAATTTTCGACCAGTAGATTATAGGTTCGAACCACAATATATCAGTTTTGACAAGTAGTTGAGAAGTCTCACTAACCATTACAAGGTGTGTGTCATAATATTACCCGTATTAGCAACTGACAAGTAAAAACCACACGCTCATTAAACCGACTTCTAAGGAAATTCGCTGATATTTGGTTTAACCTTTCAGATGTCATATAAACTAAAAGTTTAAGAACTGAACCTATTATCTCAGGTAAACTTCCGTAATTCTGCTTCTTACGAATCTTCAACAAAAAGCCTTAAAAACCTGATATTACACAATCAAATATAAAAGTATTTATTTAAAGACACTGACAAAGTTACTCCCAAATATCCTATTACTGTTAAAACTAGGTAGAATCCATTCTATGTGCTCTCATACGACCACGTGATTATAGTCACTTCTATGGACTTCTTACTAACTGGCTTTACGATAGACATATGGTAGAAATGAGAGTCCTATGAATCAACAAAGTTGATGGATGAGGAGGGTCCACAGAAAAACATTAACTCAAAATCGATTATGCATATAGCCTTTAGGATCATACGTAACCAAATAGCACACAAAACTAATCTGCTCACTGATTAACTTGAGGGCATAACCCTTTAATGAGCTGAACTACCTGGTTGATTAGACCTTACGGTTAAAAACTTAACAAAACAACCTAAATATTTTTAAATGCTCGTTGTGTACTAGTTTACACGAATAATGATGATTTATAGAGCAAACAAAGATTATGGTTCACCCACCGCAAAAATCTTCAAGAACTAAACACAAAGTTGAAGATTTTCATTCCAAAAAGGTTGATCTCACTTTAATTAAGAAACAATAGGAAACTACAGCAGGTTTTCAAATCGCTTCTATTTTGAAATATGTCTAATAACGTCTACAACCTCAAACTTGCAGAATTTTCAAGACCGCAACCAGTGAATAATGTTGGACTGACGAACTGTCGTCCTACATATTTTTCATATAGCACCACCATATCACAAACAAACGACTTCTCCTTTTTCCCCAGCTTTTATCAGTGTCCGTAAATGATGTTCTGTATGGGAGCTTCTGTGATGACATTCATACAACATGTTCAAGTTACTGAGGCAGGTTTCATAAAAAAGTGACAATAAATAGCTGACTGTTACTTCATTTACTCTGTGCCATATCTGATAGCATCAGTGTAGTAAGTGTTATTTCTGACCGTAATTGAAGTCATAGTGAGCCGATAGAAGCCAGTCCTGTTAACCTTTCTTTTTTCTCCAGAGCCATCTCATAAACTGACCATTGCCCTTACTTTCTGAATTATTTGTCTATAAAGCCTTCAAGATATCAATAACAAACTCAGGCAACTCTTTGACAGCCATCCGATCACACGTAACATAGAACCTGACGCAGATGTGCATCGACTCAAGTTAATACATCACATCAGCATATCGAGAGAATTGTCAAGTCAAATCACAGAGTAGTAGTAATAGTGTCAGTTTTAATATACAAGACTGGGTATAAAAAGAAAACGTAAAGGAATTAGGGACTCAGGGTTTAAGGAAAGACAGAGTGAATATATCTAAGCTATTTCGAACAATGTTAAAGCATAGTTTTGCAAGACGAATGAAAACCAATTTCGATCATTACTTTCGAATTTTAGGCAAACTTATACACCGAGTATTTAAGTAAGAGTTACTCTAAGAGTGGAAGCTGATGATACTACTCAATTTTCCGAACCGAAGTACAAGGAGCAGGGTTCTAGTTCTCCACCTAGTGGCCCAAAGGCGAACGTTCTCGTCACTGAGTCACTTCTCCGACCCTTATGTAGCTTACTATTGCATTCTTTGTGGATGTGAGATGGATTGTCTCAAATGAAAGATATCTGCCTTGGTTGTAAAGTTCACAAGACCGTTTCTCTTCGTTAAATGATGATTTCGTTCAATTTTTAACCAAATATCCAACCTAATCCTCCCCCACTTCACTCCAATATTAGCATCCTATTTCATGTTCTGAATTCGCCTCTCACCATATTGTGCCATTTTCGATAATTGAGCTAAATAACAGGTTTTCAAAATCACACAAAATTTTTCAAGTTTTTTTAATGATGCTGGAGATGGAAAGTTCTTTGTAGAACAGCGAACCAGAGGTTAAGACGTGAGAATTTCGACTACTGGGTTACACGTTTTATCTCCACATCTTTGGGCAGATGAGTAGTATGAACAGTCATTATACTGATCAGCAACCTACTAAGTAAACATTTACGTCATAAATGAGTAGTACTTGACCAAGGTTTATAAATTAATTTTTTGACAACGACTCTGTAAACATCAAAATTTTACGTTAACACCGTACAAACAAAGCGCTTAAAAATTAACGAAAAGCACCGATATAAATCATGTGCCCCAAAAGGGATACGGATTCCCCATATAATCAGTCATTATTTCAAGAACTCTTAATAAATTAAGAAACTCACCTCTGGATTTGTAAAATCTTCTGAAGCCTGGACATTTTCAGTTTCCTGTTTTGAAGCTATAAAGGTATCATTTTTGACTGGAAATCTATATTTTGTTTCACGCTGAGAAAATATGTTTACACCCTTAAAATGTCCCGAATGCTTAGAACAGCAAGAGTTTTCAGTATCAATCACCGGATAAGGAGAAACTGAACGCTTGATTGGAGATTTTGACCTTTTAGTCAGTGATGTAGGACGTCTGACTGATTTGAGACTATGCCCCATCCTCACTGTTAAATTACGTTTATGGCTAATTGAGTCATCATGGGTAGTACTTTTCGATCGCACTCTCGTAGGAAAGCGGGACTGTATATCCTTAGTAGGTCTAATGTGATGACCAATTGGAGAGGTGTTTTGACGCTGAACAATAAAGGACCCAAGCTCTCTAACGGCATCCAACATTTTCTCACAAGCTTCCTGATTTCCTCTGAAATTCTAAAAGAAATAAATTCATTTCGACACTAACTCATACCTTTTTCGACTGATTTCTATATTTAGTAAGGCGGTCATTTTCCAAAATCTAACGGAAAATGTTCAAATATTTCACTAAAATTAGAGGTACCTTATTAACAGCAATATGTAATTTTTTCAAATGATGCTTAAAATTCTGTGACGATGAGTCCTGTTATGCGAAGAACTATAAGAATAAAACAGCAACTCACAACACATATGTTAGGAATATTTGTTTCAGATCTTTTATATAGAATAGGTCTTCTAACTAACTCTTTCCCCAACGTAACATCTGCAACACCTGGAGCATCAAAAGAAGAATCCCGAGTATTGCTTCCTCCTGAGGCTTTAGGTATTGAAGTTTCTGAATTAGTGTGGTATGTGTACTATAATTATTTTCGTTTGTTCAGAATATTTTGCTCACTTGTAAGTTTTCATCCCTAGATTCAGAGCAGCTCATGTTGCCACCATTCGAAAAAAATAAGCTCAAACTTTTCTTCAGAGGATTAACCAAACCGAATCAAAGCTTTACAAGCAACTTGACGCGTGGCTACTTCAGACTAATATATATCAAATGAACCGCTCTACTAGTTTCCATGATCGTGAGATTTAATTAGCATAACTAAACACAAACTTGAGTAATAAATTACGAAAATCTACCGGTCCATGTTATTGACCTTGATTTCTGACACTCCAAAGATTTGTAGTGACTTACTTTCAATGGAAACAATTATTATTATTATAACCAATTGCACCAGTGATTGTTTTACTGTACTTGCTTGTTCAACTGTACTAAAGACATGCATTCTTTCTTCCGTTGATTGTGACCCCGCACGCCCTTACGTTTGCTCAGTGATTCCGCTTGTACACCTTTGACACGATCTCGGTATTCTTTCAATACCACGAGATCGCCAACAAATATATCTCGCTACAACTTCCGATCGCTTTCTGATATCTAGTATGCAACCTTTTTGTAGTGGTGATCATAGTCAACCGCTATTCGACGCCAAACTACAATTTGTGAGCCAAAAAGTATGGACACTTTTCAGTCGAATCCAAATCTTCCAAAGAAGCCATTTGCGGTGAGTTTATTCTTTATTTATCCACGTCTGTTGCACATTTTCATATTGATATTTTTCAATATCTAATATTTTGGCAACCTCCAGTCACGACAAAACCACGCCGACTGGCACTGCACAATTTGGCCTCCGCTAAACGTGGGTTTGACAATTTACTATCTACTGGTATTATTCGTCCTTCTCACAGTCCCTGGGCCTCACCTCTTTACATGGTGCGCAAAAGGATGGGGGAACATGCAGCGACGACCGGGCACTAAACCTTGTTACACGTTTTGATAGCTATCCCACCCCCCATATACAAGACATCATGGCACAACTATTTTTCTATGATCGATCTGGTACGAGCATATCATCAGATCCCAGTCGCTCTTGAAGATATCGAGAAAACCGCTATCACGTCTCTTTTTGGTCTGTTCGAGTTCCTACAAATGCCATTTGGATTATGGAATGCTGCTCAAAATTTCCAAATTTATATCGATAGCATAGTACGAAACCTAAATTTTGTTCACGTCTATATTGACGACCTGGTAATCTCATCATAAAACGTAGATGAACACTATCAACATCTTGAACTTATTCTAACGTCTTTCGGATAGTGGCATAGTAGTCAACCCGGACAAGTGCGAATCAGGCAAACCAGAAATAATGTTCTTGGGTCACACCATTAAGCAAGAGGGTATTTTACCTTGCGAGGACAAAGTACGTGCCATAAGGGAGTACAACGTGCCGTTCACACTCAAGTTACTGAAGGCATTTCTCGGTGTGGTTAACTTCTATCTACGTTTCATCCCACACGTGGCAGAACGGTCACGACCATTAGCCGATTTATTTCACGGCAATTCACGCAAATAAGAATTGAACGATTCCGCAAGTACTGCACTTCCAGAGATCAAAACGGCTCTGGCTCAAGTCACACTCCCCGCTCATCCTGACCAATCAGTCATGCTTCGTATAGCGGTTGATGCATCGGGTTTTGCTATAGGAGCCGTTATGCGACAGAACATCCCCGGTAGTTGGCGACCTCGATAATTTTTCTCACGACACCTTACTCCCATGGAGACGAGATATAACGCTTTTGGTTCAGAATTGCTAGCAGCCGATTGTGCCATCAAACATTTCCGGCACGCAGTAGAAGGTCGTGATTTCATCTTATTCACCGACCACAAGCCTTTAATGTATGTTCTGCATACTAAGTCTGACCGCTGCTCACCACGAGAGTGCAGACATTTGGACTATATCTCTCAGTTCACGACAGAACTTCGTTACATTAGACGAGTCGAACTATGTTGCTGATGCTCTGTCACGTATCCAAGTGAATGCAGTTACTTCACCGGTACTCAAACTTCCTGCTATGACAGCCGCTCGGGCAAACGATCATTTTGTACAGAAGCACCACAATCTTCATCCCTTCAGTGCCAGGAAGTACCCCTAGCTACTAGCTCAGGTACCATCCCATGTGATACTTCAACCATTCTTCCCCAACCCATCGTACCCTCTGCTTAACGTCGTTTAATCTTTGATGGCCTGCATGGACTGTCCCATCCAGGTATCGCAGCTACATTGCGTTTCATCTCTGCACGACCCGGCTGCTTAGTACGGAACGCATACGCACTACCGCCTACCATCCAGCTTCAAATAATTTAGTTGAACGGTTTCATCGCCAACTCAAAAGTGCTCTTCTAGCACACGAAAACAACAACTGGTACAAAACCTTGTCCTCCTATGTATCAGAACGAGCTTGAAAGTAGATATTCAATGTTCTGCCGCTGAACTGGTATACGGCACGACATTGCGTCTGCCCGGGGAATTCTTCACACCACTGAGCAGACACGATTTCGGTGAATCAGACTACGTCCAACAACTGTCTGCATTTATACGAACGCTGCCTCCGGTGTCAACTCGAACACAGCATCGATATATCGTTCTCTCTCGAGAGTTATCTACCTGTTCACATGTTTTTGTACGAGTAGATTCGGTACGCAAACCTTTGCAACAACCTTACGAAGGCCCTTTTCGCGTGATCGGTCTTCACGAAAAAACCTTCAAGGTTGATCAACATGGCCGCGTCAAGGTCGTCAGTATTGATCGTTTCAAACCAGCACATGTCCATGACAGTGCCCTACCTGATAAGCTGAGACTCAATGCTAGGCCCATCAAAACTGCCAGCGAGATCACTATATCTACTTCAGATTCCTCGCTAGATACATCAGAGACCCCACTCTCACATCCCGTTAAACAGCACGTGTCATCTGCTCCATCTACGGACGAGACTTCAGTCTCATGCCCAGATCAGTAGACAATGCCGCCCTTGACTTCGAATGAGATTGCAGGCACACGAAATACGATGGAGACTGCCGTCTCACGTTTCGGTCGCCGAGTGCGGTTGCCCGTACGCTTCAGCGACCAGGTGCACAGTCAACAACCGATACGGTGTAGGGCTATTCCTATGCTACGTGCATGCTACACTTCTCTTTTTTGCTTTTCTTTTTGTTTCCTGAGCCCACGCCTTCGACCATCCCCGTTTGGTTCCGTCGGCTTCAGTCAACTTTGGCGAAAGCTGGCCTGATCACCCATGCTCTTGTCAACGCACTCAGTCGATATTTTGGTCTCGAATGTTTGGCATACGCTTGGTCTCGAACTAAGTCGTTATGGTCGTTTCTGGTTCCTCGGCTCAACGTGGTTTCGTCCTGCGTCTGAAGCACTTTCTGGTCCGGACCCCTACGGACGCAATCTTCAGATTCTAGGTACAAACCAATCTGGTGTGGTACGCTAACTCGAGTGATAGATACAGTACGTTTCTCCTGGTACCGTTCTACGTAAAAGACCTTCGGCGGCAACTCGAGGATCGAGGATAGCTTCCTGTTCCTCCAACCCTCTCGTCCTACAATCGGAGGGTTGCCGATCAATCCTACGAACAAAACGGCTACGTATCGAGTGTAAACCCTTTCTAGCGGGGGTCCCCTGTAGTTACCTAATTTTATCAAGAAAAGGCGATTGGTTTAATGGAAACAACTATTATTATTATAACCAATTGCACCAGTGATTGTTTTACTGTACTTGCTTGTTCAACTGTACTAAAGTCATGCATTTGTAGTGGCATTGGACAATAGCCACACAATCCACAAAGCTGTGAACACGAGACTACTCAGAAAATAGATATTCAATATTTAACTTGGGGAAATACCTAACAATGGAGAAGGCGGGGAGAATGAATTGAATGTACTGGAGTTGATCGAGTGGCATGGCTCGGCCATGCAGGCGTGGTCTCTGCTGAATGTTACCTTATATCTTCTATTCATATTAAATATATTGTTCTTTCTCTAGCCTAACCTTGTTCTACATCATGTATTGGTAATTGATACGATACAGTGAGTTGATGTAGTAGATGGTGTGACTTCCACGTAAGATCTTATAGATTAGGCAGTTATATCATGACAAATCCACAAATTTAGGATTAGGTCTATTATTAGAGCAGTACTAATATCATAGTAGACCATAATTCTACACATTCTTTCTTCCGTTGATTGTGACCCCGCACGCCCTTACGTTTGCTCAGTGATTCCGCTTGTACACCTTTGACACGATCTCGGTATTCTTTCAATACCACGAGATCGCCAACAAATATATCTCGCTACAACTTCCGATTGCTTTCTGATATCTGGTATGCAACCTTCTTGTAGTGGTGATCATAGTCAACCGCGACTCGACCTCACACTGCAGATTCAGGCACTTTGTGAACGTATTATAATGACGTGTAAACTCAGTCACCTGCGATGAACTGTCAGATCTCATCTCATTGCGCATCGTTGAATATGAAACTAATACCTATTATTTATTTGCATCAATTGAGAAAAAACCTGTCTCGTAATAGATTGACAACTACGTTCAGGTCTGCATTTATCATTCCCTTTTCTCTTCTATTGGTAATAGCGTTTGATTTAATAGTGTCTCCAATACATTCGATGACTGGTGATTTTGTAAAAGCCTATTGATAATTTTGCTTGCTTCTTGCTTTTTGTTGCGATTCTGAGGATTTGATAATGCATAATGGGGAAAAGCCTAGTCACTCAGCTGCACATGTAATGGTCCAAATGGTTCTTGACGGAAAATTGACTATCAACACCGCTATAGAGAAACACGTGCCAAATAAATCCATAAAATCCCCGGGAAGCCAAATATCAGAAAGCATTTAATGGACCAAGTCGAGATATATGTGCTGGCGATCTCGTGGTATCGAAAGGATACCGAGATCGTGCCAGGATACAAGCTTGGTTACAGAATGTAACCGAATTCGCGCGAGTTCACAGTCAAAGTTTAAGAATAATGTATGCTTTTTAGCACAGTTAAACAAAAGCACATTAAAACAGTCACTGGTACAATT